AAACCTCCTATAAATATAACATTTCTCTGTTTTTAGGGTCACGTTATTAAAGAATAGCTAGTGATGACTCTCCATAAGTTGCGCTCTGGTTTAAATAAAAATGTCCTGCTGCATCTAAAGGCTGAAGCCTGCCTCTGAATCACACCGTGATGACAATGATGTCAAAACTACTATGTTTTATCTTAATCCTTGATACAAGGCAAGATGGTTCCATCAGTACCTACTCTGGCTTTTTCTCTACTCCTCCACCCTACTGGTCAAAAGTGTAATTACAACTGTTGGTCAACCCTGCTGCAGGTAGAGCTAACAACAAGCTAACATTAGCATAAGCCAACTTCTACTAAAATAAACCACAAAGTAAAAACATCCACACTGTTGGACTAAAAATATTATTACTTACAAGTCGAGTAGCAACAAAGCCAGGTCACTGTCAGTCCGTGATTCTGTAGCATACCTTCCTCGAGCTAGCGTTAGCCACGCCGATGTTCACTCTGGTTTCAACTCTTTGCTTCACCTCTCTTACGTTTACTTTCAGGCTCCGCCATGATGCCAACAAAAAAAACTTCCTTTTCTTTTTCTTGTGCTTTTCATTGATGATTGGCAAAAAGGGAAAGCTAACAGCTAGCACTACAGCTAACAGCCGTAAAGCAGGTAAAGAGAACGCCTTCTATAGGTCACCTACTAGCTCCACAAAATTATCAAGTGCTGTTTTTGGTCAGCAGAGGGCTACCGAGTGGCGCCAAACAAGAAACTCGTCAAGTTTTTAACCCAACAATCACTGAGATTGATTTTTAACATTTAAAAATCTATTTATTGTTACTTTAACTCATTATAGATTATTTTTGTAAACTCCCATCAAACCACTTTTGGTCTTAAATTGTCCAGGTGAAGCATCAGGATTAATACTTTCATCAGAAACTTGTTCTATAGATGTCTACTGCCCCCTTCTGGCAGTGGCGGTTTTACCATTGGGCATAAGTCGGCAGTTGCCTGGGGCCCCCTTATGTTGGGGGGCCCCCCTAGCCCTGACTGTTGGCACCCCTCTGTTAATGCCACAATGGACTATTCCTTTGAGAAGTCCGATGCACAAACAGGAAGTGATTGGTAGTCATTCCACTCCAATCCAGTTGGTGGCAGTATTGCACCAAATTGTTGTTTGCCAAGTGCCATAAGACCACAAATAAGAAGAAGAAGAGAAAGCAGAAAAAGAAGAAGAGAGGCGGGAGCATTCGTAACAAACTCGAAGCGGTAGTCAAAACATGAAGCATGAAATGGAGTTATCCTAGTGGCTCCAATAAGAGAAAGAAACTGCATGCTTCAAAAAACTTTCATCTTCACTTCTGAAAGTGACGTAGTTTTTACTATGTAAACATCAAAAGGAGGCAGAAAGAAAAGACGGAAAATGTATAAAGGGAGGAAAACATAGACCAAAATGGAAAATGGAAGAAAAAAGAAAGAAAGACAAAAGCACAGGAGCACTGACAGGAAGAAGAAAGCAGAGCAAATATTGAAGGCACTCAACGGGAGAGAAAGACAGGAAAAAAGAGGAGGACTAATAAAAAGGGAAAATAACTCGTGTCAGAAGAGGGTGGAGTTTCGCAAATCCAGTTAAAGATAAGATTGTCGAAAATTTTGTGTAAGGGGGCCCAGGTCTGTGTTCGCCTTGGGCCCCCAAATTGTTAAATCCGCCACTGCCTTCTGGAGGCTATATAGGTGGAAGAGCCTATTTTATTTTGTTAATATTGCTATACTGTTTTAGAATTAGAAAAGCAAATCAAATGGTTTGTCGCATAGTTCTCATGATAATATCAGACAATAAAAACTACATTAAAAAATATTTCCCGCTTCTTCTTTGAAACAATTTTGTTTTCTTCCCTCTCAAGTTTATGAACAGGAAGGGAAACGGGGAAATGCAACCCTTGTGTCGAACGCCACTCATCGGCAGCAGAGGAAGTGTTTAGCGTCACTTATGAAACCAATCTGTTCTTCATGGGCCGCGCTCATTCACGTCTCCAAAGCAGAAGGCTTGAATGACTCACATTTTCCTGGAGTAGTGACAGATGTGACTCGAGCACGCCGCTCATTTCAGAAAGAACGCTGCATCTTCATCTCGGGCCATTGATGCTGCAGCTGCCATGGCAACGGCCCCTTGAAATAAGGCTATGTGGATTATTGTGGGGTGACTCACACGTAGACTATCTTTATATTAGGAGTTTATTCACATCCCTGTGTATGAGGATGTTAACATTCACAACGTGTTGATGTAAACAAACCGGGATTATCCAGTTTACTAGACAAGATGAGGAGGTAAATTATTGATGAAATCTGGTCCCCGCCACATGACCCAGACTTGGCTCTTTCTTCCTCTAACTGCTTTATTGTGGGGTTTTCAGGTCATTCCGACTCCGTTTGCTCCTCCGTTAGGCCAAAGTCACCCAGGATTATGTGTTTGTGACAACTTGTTGATATTATTTGGTTTTATTGTGCTTTTCCACTCATTTCCAAGCAAATTTGACCTAGAAAGAAACGGATATTTGATGTTTTACTCACTTAATATAGTAAAAATGCTAAATTAAGATTTGAAACTTTGCAACACCTTTATACAGGAATCCGCTTCAGCTCCATGCATGCATAGAAACTTTCTGATTTTGGACTAATCTGCACAGTAATTAAAGAGCAAGTCACCCCCTACCTGGTGAACCTGCTGAACTTCCACTTCCACACACACACACAGACAGGCTCACAACGACATTGTGACATCATATGGTACCAGCTAACGTTCTAGGGTATCTCTTAGCCAATAGAGATGGCAGATTTAAATTCAACTGCAGTGCAGAGTGTGTCTGCAGCACAATTAGCCACTTATTTATGTAGTTTATCACAAAAAAGCTGATTTGGGGGTGACTTGCTCTTCAAGTAAACCCCGTTTTTATTTAAAAATGCAAACTACCGCGTCACACGCACTTAGATTTTTAGTGTTAAAGCTTGGTTTATGCTTGACACGTTTACTTTCCGCTTGGTGATGCGGCTCGCGGACGGAACACGCTTCACAACTTGCAGCATTTATGGTTCATGCGGCTTGTCTCTGCAGTGAGCCAATATTCTCCCAAACTGTATGGGGCAGCATGGAGCTCTACGGCGTGCATCCAACACTACACCATAGTAGAAGTAGAAATTACTGTTTACAACATGGCATTCCAGCATTTTTAACAGCGTCCTCGTCTTTTCCGACAGTGCGAGCTGTTTCTCTCCAAGAATTATTAACAACATGTTGATCACGGTGATCTCTGAGAGCTGAATCATACAAATGTCTGTATTTACGAACCTCTGCCGTACTAGTTCTTGCCAGTCCGCCATGTTTTTCCGCGTCCGACCGTCCACGTGGTTATACAATTTCCTAGGTGCGCGTTGCGGAAAGTTTGGGCCGTGCAGAGGCGCGGTGGAGGGGCGTGGTTGTTAAAATGACGCAACTTTTCCGTGCGGACCTCACGGACGCGTCAAGCATAAACCAACCTTTATAGGGAACACGTGCAGTTTTCACTGCAAACAAAGGCAAAAAGACACATTTTGCTTCTACTTTCATCTCTAAATCATCGTTAAACCACATCATTAAAGCTTGAGCTGCTCTTTTAGTCGTATTTCTGTATCTCACCGGAAACGGGACAGAAATATAACATGTTTATTGGGAAATCTGATTTATAAAGTGAGCAAAACAAACGAGAAGAAGCTGAAAAGTTTATTCCTGACGTGCATCTAAAGCAAACGCCGATGAGCGATGTCCCGAGGCTTTTAGAAGCATTTTCTGATGCTCCAACCATTTCTAATGGGGCTGAGTTGGAAGGGTGTGCTTCCTGCTGATTGAGGACATTACAGACATCCCATAATTCATTTCTGCACTCAGATCTGCTGAGATAACCACTCAAAGTGTAACGCTTAATGCGAGCTAATAACTTCCTCCCTGAAAGTTTGGACTTGACCACAAAGCGAACGTCTTTTTCAGGTTTGGTGTATTTCTCTTCTAATAAGCGGCTTGTTTCACATCAGTTTAATCTGATTAATCAGGACCAGAAACGGACTTTAAACCCAACATTTCTCTAACTGGAACCCGTATGTGTTGGGTATTTTTATAATTGTACCTTTTTGAGGCCTAAAAGATGGCCAACTGTTGCTGTTCATGAAAGGTTGAGCAAGGATGTTGATTGTAAGAAAACTGTACCTCTGTAACCTGAGAAGGCCCGCCTTCTCCCCCATCCTTGGTGAATAAAGCCCCCTGACGAGCTGAGAGCACACGGGAGTGACGTGGGGAAGCCTCGGAGGAGGTTTCTCTGCGTTAACTCTCCATGTTTTGGAGACTCAGGGTAAAAGGTCTTCCTTGTTGTCATGTGTGTTTATTTCAGGGTCCAGGGTTATGGAGATTAAATATTACCTAACATTCTGGTCTCCTGATGGAGACCGCAGGTATGCAGAGCTGGTGAGGTGAAGTCTTTGAGGCTGGAGCAGAGTGGGGGCTGGATGTCTGGGCCCAGCTCACGCATGGTGATCGAACATTAACAAATAATCAATTTACTCTCTCTCTCTGGGTGTGTCGTCCTTTAAGGTAATATGGGATAAAATCAAATTACCTATCAGTATGGTGCTGAGGAGCTGAACGCTGGAAGTTCATCCGTGATCTTTGTTGCAGTTTGGGGTTTAAATAAAGATTTATGTCACCTGTGAATGCTCCTAAATGAAGACGGCATGAATAAAGGCTCAGATCCTTGGTTCTTATTGCATCCGCTCCAGAGTTTGCTGCTGCTCCCCCTTCTGCTGCAGCTCTAAGAACAGCTGTTTGGGTTCGAGTACACGACCACAGTATCGGACCGATACCAGGTGCTGGTTTCGATATCAGAGCCTCCCTAAATACATCTGTACCTTCAAGCTCCGTGTTGGTTTGTGTTTCCACTGTAATGAGAGCTAACTCGATCCAGATCTTTACTCGTGTCCGTTTGTTTGTCCTGCAGGTTTGAATGAACCCGCGCCATTAGGGGTGACGAGGGTGTGAGGCGGCGAGACTCGCACCAGACACCTCCCCGGCAGCCATGCCGCCGCCGGCAGACATCGTGAAGGTGGCCATCGAGTGGCCGGGGGCGTTCCCCAAGCTGATGGAGATAGACCAGGTAGGCGTCTGTTGTTTAAGCTGACGTTTAGGCTGAGACTCGGCCGTGCTGCTGCTGGTGGGCACGTCTGGGCTGCACACATCAGCGCAGATTCATCAGATGTTTGAATAATGAAGAGGCTCCGAGGTGCTGGGCGGATGTGATCTGGCTACCACGCAGCTTTTCCGCTGTCCCAACAATTAATCTAATTAGCCTAAAGGAAGTGGCCTTAATCGAAGATGCTTATCAGCGTCACACAACCAGCTGCAGCTTTTAAACCGGCGATGATCAACGAGGCGTTCTCATCAGACTTGATGAAGACGTAATATTTCATTCTGATGTTTCTGCTGAAATCGTTAAACAGGTCCTGTAGTTAAACTTCTGCGTGATTTACAGATCGAGCCTTGGTTAATCCATTCACTTGAATTCCTCTCTCTCTCCTACGCCCACTCATGCACAGATGAGCACGTTGTGTGCACGTTGTGTGCACGTGTAATAATCGGCGATGCAAAGACCGGAGGAGTTGAGAGTTCAGTTCAGTTCACTTTATTTCAAACATATACATTCACCAACATTTCATAAAATCATTCCCCGCGATTGTTTGAAAAGGAGTAGGGAGAAGTGTATACTTATTTAGCCCCACCCCCTCAGGTTTACATCCTCATCATCAAAATTTAAACAACAAAACAGTTACAATGCCTTCAAAAAATAAAAAAAACCCGCAAAAATAACAATAATAATAAATAAATAAAATTCTCATGTTCAACTAGAACTATATTTAGATTTTCTAATTTGTAGACGAGATTAAACATCAGTTAGCATGCCGTCCTGGGTTAATTGCAATTTCTTCATTCTTATTTAACATTTCTTTTTTGAGTTTTATTTTAAACTGGTTTACATCACTACTGACCTTTATTTCTTCTGTTAACTCATTCCAGAATTTAACGCCCGCTATTGAAATAGACATCCTTTACAATGTCGTTCTCACTCTTTGTACTTTTAAATTCCACTTCCCTCTAAAATTATACCTCCCTTCTCTTTCTAAGAACCATTTACTTATTTCAATCGGGAGCATCCCTTTCCTTACCTTATATATTATTTGCGCTGTTTTAAACTTGACCAGGTCCTGGAATTTTAAAGCTTGCGTCTTAATAAAGAGTGTGTTTGTGTGAGCCCTATACCCCTCCTGATTTATTAGTCTAATAGCACTTTTCTGCATTATGATTATAGTCTGAATGTTACTTTTATATGTGATTCCCCAAACTTCTACACAATAACTCATGTATGGTAATTTGAATGCACAATATAACATATATAATGTTTTCCTATCCAGAAAACGTTTCACTTTCCCCAAGACAGCAATGCCCTCACATAAGTGATGTGTGATTTCCAACAGGCCTTATGATCAATGATCACACCAAGAAATTTTATGGTATTAACCCTTTCTAGATATACATTATCAACACAAATTTCAATGTTAATATCTTTCTTATGGTTTCCGAATAACATAAATTTAGTTTTATTTAAATTTAAGGACTTTATGTGCATTAGAGAATAAAAGGTCTGGCTAATAATTTAGCTGCCCAGTTGTTGGTGAATGCGTTTAGAAATTGTATGACTCTGTGATTGGTGACGTGTTGCATCGCACGTTTTTATTTCATCTTCCTGCAAATATTCAGAAAACTCCTAAGATCCTAAATATGATATTTTGAATATTTAAATCAACTTGAAGCGTCTAAGTGCAGGTTAACAGCATCATGGCCGCACTGCAGCCATCGGCTGCACACGAAGCCCAAACAGCTGCTTGTGGGTCCAGAGCCACAGGTTGCAGACCCCTGATCTAGATCAATCCTGGGAGCAATTTAACTTAAAAAAATAATGAAATCACTTGATTTGAATGATGCAGGAGCCAAATCTCCCTCTGATTCAGGAGTATTTTTGTTTATCTGTAATAAAATGATGACATCTGAGGATTTTTGTGAGATCCCTGAACAGGAAGTCAGCAGATGGTCTTCAAGAACCCCAAATAACACGCTAATAAAATAATTAGCCCAAAAGATGACTGCCACGTTCACGGCGGGGACATGTTTCACACGTGATCACACAAACGGTGTGTAAAAAGGCCTTTTGTGTGTGTGTGTGTGTGTGCGTGTGCGTGTGTGCGTGCGCGTGCGTGTGTGTGCGTGCGTGTGTGTGTGTGTGTGAGACTCACAGATGGGCTAATTACTGAAAAAGTTATGAGTCACCGAGGCAAACTGGCACTACACATTGCCCTTCTCATGGGATAACTCCATGAATGGAGCGTTGAGCGACGGCGTACACGCGCTTCTGCTCGCTTTGCTCTCAGATTTTAGGGATTTAGGAAGTTTATTTTCCCATCCTTCATTTTATCCATCATGCGTCTTCCTCCTCCACGCTTATCTGTCATCTTCCTTCTGTTTCACCTTTGTTTTCTCCTCCTCCTTTGTGTTCACTCATTCACTCTCACTCCTCCTCTCTTCATTGTGTGAAACTCTGTTTCTTCCTCCTCCTCCTCCTCCTCCTCCTGCGTCTCCTCTGTACAATAGGCCCTGCAGAAGCATATGGCTGTCTGAGTCATGCGATGAGGCTTCTGCTGCTCCAGTTGTCTTGAGACCCAGAGAACGAGTGTTCATGTGTGTGTGGGCGTGCCTGAATACAAACGTGTGTGTGTTGATGTGTGTACGAGCCTTTTTACATGATTATTTTGTATTTTGTGTGGGTGTTTTTGTGATAAGATGCATGATTTATTTATTTTTTTTTTTTGCAGTTCTGTTTGAGTGTTTTTACTTCATTTTGTTTATTTTTTGTTAACTTTTCTTAGCAAAAAAACAACAAACATGTTCAAAATGTTTGTAACGTTTTGGTTGGACACCATTTTCCATCTTTTCAAAGTTGAAGCAGAAGAATTCAACATTTAGGAAAATCAAAAATAAGTGAAACATGCAGATTTACTTAGAAGAACACGATTATGTTGTTATTTTTGTTCAAGCTTAACACCCATCTGGTCTCTTATTTCTTTTCCTGCTACCAGAATTTTTGTCCAGCTAAGTATTCCTTTGGTTCAGTTTCCTCGCTCCTCCCTCCTACTGGTTGAAAGCAGAATTTCAACGACCCAGCTTACTGTGGCTAATGCAAACGGAAAGCTAATACTAGCATGAGCTAACATTAACACAAGCCAATTAATACTAAAATAAACCATAAAGTAAAATTATTCACACTGTTGGACAAAAAATATTATTACTTACAAGTCCAGTAGCAACAAAGCCAGGTCACAATCAGTCCGTGATTTTGTAGCATCGTTTAGCTCCCTTAAGCTAGCGTAGGCAGCGCCGATGTTCGCTCTGGATTTAGCTTTTTGCTTCACCTCCAGAGACGTTACTCTCTTACTTTTGCTTCCAGACTTCACCATGAGGCCAACAGAAAAGCTAAATTCTTCTTCTGGTTTTTGTCACTCAGCAAACTGAGAAAGGCTAACTGCTAGCCTTTATGTTAGCTACCAGCACTGTAATCAGCTATTGCCATGAAGCAGGTAGAAAGCTCACATTAATTTACCCACCTGTAGCACAAAGCAGATGGCTGACCCATGCAAAGTCAGCTAAAGTTTCTGCCTCAAGAATCGCTGAAACCAGTTTGAAAGAACTAGCTTGAAGCGTTAAAAACTGTTAAGTTTTGCTTTAACGCGGAGTGTAATTGAACCATATGTGATCTCATTCTGCTTCAGAGACCTCTGTCTGAGCAGAAGGGTGGGAATGAGTCTTTGCGGAGGAATTTTGGTGTGATGAAGGGATGGAAGGATGGAGAATCCTCATGAGCCGATTTAGATTCCAACCCATTCCTTTTGCTGTGAAACGTGATGTTGACAAAACAAAAAACAAGATCCTGGATGCGGACATTAACTCGGAATGAAGCCGCTGCTCTTCCCCATCCAAGAGCTGAGGAGGTTCCAGCAGCCCTTCTGGTTACCTGGAGGTTTTCCAGGTTTGTCCCAATGTAGAGGAGATTCCGAGAGGACCCAGAAATTGCTGGAGGAATTATGCATCCTCTCTGGTCTGGGAGTACCAAGGGATCCCCCTGAGGGACCTGGGGAGCTCCACAACCGAACCGTAGATAATGGATGGATGCTGATTGGCTCATTTTCCCCATTAAGAAATGAATTAGTAGTTTGATCCTGATGGAATCACCTCTCAGTGGAAGAAGTTGCTGCAGCAGAAGGAATAATCTTGTTGCTGCTTTCAGCTGGAGACCTTTTGTGTCAAACGTTCATTTTCAGCTCGTGTCAGCTTCGGTTTCCTCATCTTATTTCTCTCATTAACTTTGTTTTTTCTCTCTTTTCACTCCTTTGTTCACACAACAGCCCTCCCTTTTTGTCTGCCACCTTCCTGCTTTCCTGTGCTTGTCAAACATTTTGCCACCTCTGTTCTCTAACTCCTCATCATCACTGCTGCAGCGCACACACACACACACACACACACACACACACACACACACACACACACACACACACACACACACACGCGCTCTGGGTTTGGTTGTGTTTCTTGGCCTTGGTTGTTACATTACTGTGCATTCAGGAAGAGGAAGGTGCTTTTATTTTGAAGGTGTGATTAATTTGTTTGTGAGGTTCTGCGTTCGTTTATGGAACTCCTAAGATTGTAGTTTTAAGGTAACATGGACTCTCAGGTTGCCCCTTGGTAAATGTTCCTGTTGATGCCTTAAACCTTCACACCGCTGCTCTGGCTTCTCCGCTTCCTCTCTGCTTTATGATTCTGTGTAACGCAGCAAACGTGCATTTAATCTGCAAACTGCTCAGTAATAGATCTACTAAAGTTATGCAAGCAAGGTTAAAGATGTTTGTTGAAGCAGTTCTTTGTCTTTACGGATTATTTAATGAACATTTGCAAAAGTTTAAAGCTTTTTTATACAACCTGCCAGGTTTCCTTACACAGGAAACTTTTAACTAATAGAAAAAAATGATTGAAGCCATTGCACTGATTAGTAGGTTCAACTGGAACGTTTACTTTGTTAAGTGCCTTGAATTTAATTCAGTTGAGTTTTTTGCTGTGTGTTTGTGTGTGTGTGTGTGTTTTGTGCAAGTGCATGCTTGCAAGTGTGTGTGTGTGTGTGTATGTGTGTGTGTGTGTGCTTGTGCGTGTGTGTGTGTGTGTGTGTGTTGTTTTGTGCAAGTGCATGCTTGCAAGTGTGTGTGTGTGTGTGTGTGTGTGTGTGTGTGTGTGCTTGTGCGTGTGTGTGTGTGTGTGTTGTTTTGTGCAAGTGCATGCTTGCAAGTGTGTGTGTGTGTGTGTGTGTGTATGTGTGTGTGTGCTTGTGCTTGTGCGTGTGTGTGTGTGTGTGTTGTTTTGTGCAAGTGCATGCTTGCAAGTGTGCTTGTGCGTGTGTGTGTGTGTGTGTGTGTGTGTGTGCTTGTGCGTGTGTGTGTGTGTGTGTGTGTGTGTGTGTGTGTGTGTGTGTGTGTGTGTGTGTGCTTGTGTGTGTTGTTTTGTGCAAGTGTGTGTGTGTGTGTGTGTGTGTGTGTGTGTGTGGTGCGGGTGCATGCAGGTACATGCTTGCAAGTGTGTGTGTGTGTGTGTGTGTGTGTGTGTGTGTGTGTGTGTGTGTGGTGCGGGTGCATGCAGGTACATGCTTGCAAGTGTGTGTGTGTGTGTGTGTGTGTGTGTGTGTGTGTGCACACAGAGGCGGAGCTGGCCTAAATGGCGCCCTGTGCGAGATCCCCCTGTGACACCCCCCCCCCCCCCCCCCCGCCCACACACACACACACACACACACACACACACAAGAAAAAACATTACACCTACAACTTTGTTTCAAATTGCGTGGAGTGTATTATATATAACAACGTTTGCTGACTGAATACAACATCCAGCTCCTGGCCACCTTCTCACCACTTGTCAAAGTTCTACTGAAATAGACACACTTAACGCAACATGATGGCATCATCGACTTGTACAGTACAGATGTGCTGAAAGGCGAGAGTCTCAACTTTCAGCTAAAAAAAGAACGCTCTAGCTATTATAGTTTTTATTTTATGGCAGTTTTCAGTTTAAACGGGATCTTACTAGCAGGGCACCTCCAGCAGCCCGCTGCCGCTTCGTTTTTCATGGGGTAAATAATAGCTCATTTCCCGATTCCAAAAAGAAAGAATGGTCCTACCAGCTCGCCACTTCAATATGAAGAAGATCAGTTCAACATGGGGAAAAAAAACCTGACCTGTAGGCCAGAGAAACGTTCATTAGCACATCAAGTTCGATTCAGTTTACCGGTAAACATATCACGAATGTACAACAGGTCAATTATTAATCATCTTGGCTACGTAGCTTAATCTATACATTCCAGTAGCGTTTGCTACAAACACATACAAAAACAACAATAAAGGAAAGCAACTGTCTGACAGACAACATAGCCGAATTCAAGGCAACACATAACAATAATCATTCGATTGCTCTTGGTTTTAAGTTAAGCCCATTAAAGTGCTTAAGTAAATAAAAGTGTTTCAAAAACAGCGTTTTTGAACCGGAGTTCTGCTCGCGGTGGGAACTCCGCCGAACAAGGTCATTTTTTATAGCGAAAACGATCGACTGGTCACTGACAAGTAAAAGGGTGTTATTGGTGGATGTTAAGAACACTTACCGCTGAGGTAAAATGAGAGTATAAATGAATTGAGGGGAGAAAAACGCTTTGTTTTTAGCCCGGAAGTATTCCCCCACAGCCAGCTTTCATTGTTGCCGCGACGTGGAAGGAGCCAATCAGGAGAGGGACCTCACATCAGCTGACGTGGGTCATGTGACAGGGAGTAGTTGATATGGGTTACACTTTGTTGTGCTTTTATTACAGAAATAGTATTATTATCATCACTATTATTAAGAACATGCGATTTCTATGTTTTGTTTATGTATTGGTTGATGCTTAAAAAAAATTTTTTTAGAAGAAAAAAAAAAAAAGGAAATTAAATGCCGCCCCCTGCAGACTGCCGCCCTGTTCGGCCGCACATATTGCACATATCAAGCTCCGCCACTGTGTGCACAAGTGCATGCAGGTGCACGCTTGCAAATGTGTGTGTGTGTGTGTGTGTGTGTGTTTGTGCGGGTGCATGCAGGTGCAGGCTTGCAAATGTGTGTGTGTGTGTGTGTGCTTGTGCTTGTGCATGTGTGTGTGTATCAGTGACATTTGACACCCAAAACTGATTTTAAGTTCTTACTCATTATGTAATTTGTGTGTTTTTATACTCATTTACATAAAATAAAGTCTACAAATAGAATTTTCCTGTGAAGACAAGCTCCGCCTCTCCGGTGGAAAATCCCACCACAGCTTTGCTCCTCGTAGAAAACCCATCTGGTTCCACCAGCGGCTGAAACGTTAACGTTGGTAAATGTGAAATATTGACATTTGTCTTTCTAACAACCTAACGTGAGAAACAGGTTTGATGGTATTTAACTGATTGTTTAAAGTTTTATCGTGTTTAATTAAAATCAAAACTATGAACGTTTTAAATGGATAAATGGAGCTACTGTGCTTTTCATCACTGGAGAGGCTGAACCTGCTGCTGCTGCCCTGCAGGCTCTTTTAACATGATGAAAAACTGGCCTGCAGACTGTAAGACCAGCAGAAAGATAAACAAACAAGGCTAACAGTCTCTCTTTGTTCAAGTCCTGCAGCATAAAATCATTACGGCCCACTCTGAAACTAAGTGTTGTTTCAGGAATTCAACTCTGAGCTAAATGTAGTTTTGCTTTAATCCACAGAAAAAGCCACTTTCAGCCATCATTAAAGAAGTGTGCGAGGGGTACGTCTGCTCATCCTCACCCTTAATCCTGTCGGATTAATCTAAGTTGTTGTGCAGTTTTTAATACCAGCTCCTCTTAGGTGGTCCTTGGGGAACCACGAAGGCTTCGCTCTGCAGATTGCAGATGCAACAAACTTCTACATCACAGAAAAGGTTTGTTTTTGCTTAAATAAAAGATTTCATGGAGGAGAAAAAATACAATTCCCGACCCTTGAACCCCTCCACAGAATCGCAACGACATCAAGAACGGCTCCATCCTGCGCTTGACCACCTCCCCCGTAAGTTTCAGGTCACAAAGGAACCCGGATGCTTTATTCTTGGGTGTTCTGCAGTAAAAGTGTTCGTCCTGCTTTCCCCTGCAGCACCTGACGGCCGTGCAGCTGCACGATCGGATCCAGTCGTCCAGCATGGATGCCAAGCTGGAGGCGCTGAAGGACCTGGCCAACGCGTCGCGAGACATCACCTTCGCGCAGGAGTTCATCAACCTGGACGGCATCTCGCTGCTCACTCAGATGGTGGAGAGCGGGACCGAGTAAGTGGGCCGTCTGCACGCCTCGTTTGCTCAGCTGATTCTGTTTACTCGTCACTTTGTGTTTGTCTTGGATATCCACTCCATCCAAATGTTACGTTTTTAAATGAAATCAGAGTTTGCTGCTGTGTGATTTTAATTCCTCCAGCTTTTGTCTCTCTACCGACAATTCTCAGATTTAATCACCTCCAGCTCAGGATTCAGGCAAAGCTCAGCACGGATCGAATTCTGAGGGAGAATAAATCAGATTTTGTGAGGTTTTATTGTTTATTTTGACTCATTTAAAAGCATCAGACTCTTTAAAAGCTCAAATTCACTAAAATAATTCATGCATTTGATGAAAAAAGTTTCATTTTTAATGTTTTCATCAGCAGAATTAATTAGAGTGCATCATCTAAATGCATACTGATATATAAATGTGTGCTTTTGCTGGAGGTTCATTAAAATGTTTTACTGTTTTATTTCATTAATTTTAAATCTGGACTATTATTTCACCTCAAATAGGAAAGATTGTTTTTATCTGCTTATCGGAGCTGATAATAACTTTGTACTGAAGGAGGTGCGTGGCAGTGGCGGCCCCAGAAAACTTTCATGGGGGGGCCAATGAAAGTTTTGGGGTGGCCGTCATAACTAGGGGAGAGTTATCCTGTAGCTGTGCACTGCTCCTTAATGGGCTCGACACACGGGAGGCGACATCGCCTCTCCTTCATTTTTAATGAGACATGCGTGACAAAGCGATAATCGCGGATCTCCCTCCTACTAAGCGAAACGCGAAAAACGTGCGTGTGAAATTTTGCGCTTGTGCACGTGTCGCGCACAGGCGACCCAGCGACGCGATCCCAGAAAGTTGAAATATTTTTAACTTTTCAAATTCAAATTCAAAAAAACTAATCATCCCCGAGGGGCAATTGTTTGTTTGGTCCTCGTCCGAGCGACAGCGATGAAAACAATCAGCGGAGGTTTCATTCACTGACCAATGAGCGGACAGGATGCTCCGTACATTTCCGAGCAAACATGGAGGAGAAGTTGACAGATTTCCCAGAACTGTATAGGGTTGTCACGGTAACCGGTGTAGCTGTAAAAAAGTTGACAATAATAATAACAGTCTTATTTTTAAAAAATAGTATCTCGGTGAATTACCGTGGCTGCGGTGTAGGCGCGGTGACCCTTACCAGCCACCGTATCATCTGCTGAAGTTGCCGGCGGCACATGCGCACTTTGTTGTTTACAACCAAAACTTTATTGAGGCTAAAGCTGAAATAATGGCCAAAGGAGGAGACGGCAACGCTCAGGAGGACATTTATTATCCCTCAAAGAAGACAAAGTGGGAAGTACGGGCATCTTTTGGATATGTGAAGAATGCCGAGGGACAGCTGATAGAAGACGGCTATCCTGTTTGCAGCACGTGCAGAAAAAGTGTCTGTGAAAGGCAGCAACGCTTCAAATCTCATGACACATCTGCGTGACCATCACCCACAACTCTACAGTCAACGGAGGGCAAGCTAACGTTAGCGTTTTAGCTAAAATGCGTGATCCGAGGATTTGGGTTGCGGGAGAATGCAACGAGTCGCTATATAAAGCAGCCGCAGCGCCGCTACCTGCATATAAAGCGTGTCGCAGACACCGCCATGTTGAAATGAGGCTATGCATTACGGGGCTCCCAGGGGCAGATAAGAGTTGGTCTCTCTCCGAGAATAATTATGAATTTAACAACGATTACTGCCTGATGACATTTTCCCACATCTGCAAAGCTCACTGGAAGGACACAAACCGAGGACAATATTTTCCTGATATAGGGTTTATTACTCAAGTAAGGGTAAAAAAGTATCTGATTAGAAGGCTACTTGAGTACTGAGTATCATCTGAACTAATATTTTTAAAATGATGACATCAAACAGACATAAAATAAGAAGTTATGGGCAAATATTGGTATTTTAAAAGACTAAAGGGGAAAAATGTAAACAAATAAACAACATAATTACAAAATAACACATTTTAGGCAAAATTTAGACACAAACTGAGGACAATATTTTCCTGACATACAGGGTTTATGTAGTTGTCTGAAAATGTAATGCGTTTAAAAAAATACGCGATAATACCGAAAACCGTGGTAATTTTGGTCACAATAACCGTGAGGTTACATTTTCACACCGTGACAACCCTAGAACTGTACAATATTTCTACCAAAGATATAGAGATATTCACAAAAAGCAGGATCGTCCTTGAGGTCCCTCATTAAATGATGGTATATGGGATGAACCATTCTCGTTTTTTTTTTTTCATATAGTAAAATCAGAAGTAAGATTTCACTCTAGCAGCACCTTGTGAAACATCATATCTACTGCTTTTTTTAACTCTGAACCGCTTAAATAACCTTAATTCCCTCCAACCTGACACAGCCAATCAAAACAACGGAAGATTCGATTTCACCATGGAGCAGAACGCATCGACGCTTTTGCCGCTGCCACGGGTCGCCTCCCGTGTATCGGGTAATAGAAGCGACAGCGACGAATTTCGCTGATGGCGGTCGTTTGTCGCCTCCTGTGTGGCGAGCCCATTATTCTAAAAGCCCTAAGCATCCAACACAGTTATCTCAAATTTGAGAAACGCAAACATTTCAGATAAACGACAAAAGTTGAAACGGTTATTTCCTTCATTGTTTAAAATTAAACCACATTTAGAATTTTAAGAACGTTTAATTTGTCGTTTAAACAAAAACAAACTGGTGTTATGTCGTCGCCCTGAAGGCCGTAGGCGACCGAAACACGTCAACTTTTTCTTCCTCTAATAAAAACGCTCCTCAGAGTCACCGTTTTCTACATCCTGTGGTATTCAGCCCTTATTTCAAACAATGAGCCTTGGTAACAAACATAGTTAAATAGTGATTTATTAAATCAATTATTACATTTTTATTATTATTGTATTATTATATTATTATTAAGGAAGATTAATGCATTGTCTGTTTGGGTGGGGGCAATGGGGTGACAAAAATGCACCTAGTGTTGGCCACGGCCCCCTCCTGGCCACCTCTTGGGGACACCACTGTACTCAGGGCCGGCTTGAGGTTGAAGTGAGAAATAATTTTCCTCTGTGACAGCCAGGAGGCTCAGTAAGGAGTCGAAACCAAGAGGAGCAATGAACACACGCAAAAACGTGTAAATCTTATGGCAGAATGCACTCGTTTTGGATGTTTTTATTTCTTGCGTAATATCTAATGACTCCTCTCAGATCTGTCACACGGGGAACCATCGAAGCCTCTTAAGTTTGACCCTGCTTAATCTAACGGTTCCGAGCACAGATGTTAGCTCCACTCAGCTCGTGTGTGTGTGTGTGTGTGTGTGTGTGTGTGTGTGTGTGTGTGTGTTTCTGTGAAAGAGAAATGAGAGTGGTTCTACTACATTTTCATCTCAATAAGAGCAGCTGATTAAACAGACATGAAGATAAGCATCTCTCCCACACACACACACACACACACACACACACACAGGTTGGGGTTCCTGCCAGCCAACTTGTTGAACTGTAATTATTATACACTCTCAAGGACAGACCTGCTCTTTTATCTAACTCTTGATGATAATGTTTATATTCCTGCTGCTGAGGCTGAACTCCACTTAAAAGTAAATATCGCCCTCTATTGATGAAAGAGGGAACTTTTTTTATCCTTATTTGGGTTTTGCTAGCATTGAATTAACAGTTAAAAGCGTTTAAAAGTAAAAATCATAAATTAATTCACAGATTAACGCACAACAGTTTGTTGGATGTTATATTAAACAACTCGCCTGTTAAAACGGCTGATCATTTTTGGACTTCCTGTTGGATTTTTTTTATATGATGAGTTATTTCTACAGATTTTAGGCTTTTATACTTTTGTCATTAATTGTAGATTTAAACTTTTAACCACCTTCATGTTTCGGTTTGAAGAATCTGTTTAGTTATCTGCTTCATTTCTGTTTCTGCCTTCCTGCAAAATTTACTAAACTGTGTAAAATTTTATTTTCTGTAGAAAAATCTTCTTTTTGGTACACATGACCAAAGGTTTAAAGAATGACCCAAACATCCGTTTATGGATTCCTTACGTTGAGTGACATTTTATGTGTTAAAAAGGATTTTTAGACTGTTTTGCTAATAAAAATGCAATATTTGGTTTGTATTTTTAAAACCTTTGCAGCTCGTCCTTACACGCTGTTGGTTTGGACCAAATCCTGGCTTCTAGCTGCCCATTCATGCAGAATTAATGCTGAATTTGTAGGTTTTTATTTGCCCTCCAGCCCCTTAATGATTGACTGAGTGGGATTAAGGTCTAGGGCAGCGGGTCGAAACTTTTCAACAAGACTACCAAAATCGCCTTAATGATAAATGACCCGCTTTTGTATAGCTTATTTCTTTCTTTGGACCAAAATCGTCAAGTTAAGAGGCCTCTTGAGACACAAATTAATTAATTTATTTTAAAACATACAAGAGTTGTTTTATTATGAAATTTCTATCTCAAACACAGATTCATATAAAAATCTGATCATAAAACATAAACAAAGAGCCTGCTGGAGAAGTAAAACACCAGTTTGTCTCCAAACTGTTGTTGGGTGGTTGGAGGAGTTCCTCTGGGAGGATGGTTCGGTACCATTATTCATGGCTGTGTTCTGGGGCTCAAGTGTGTGTGTGTGTGTGTGTGTGTGTGTGTGTGTGTGTGTGTGTGTGTGTGTGTGTGTGTGTGTGTGTGTGTGTGTGTGTGTGTGTTTCATGTTGTTTCCCCTCTTTGACACCAAAGTTTCTTAAATCTCTGCAGGCGCTACCAGAAACTACAAAAGATTATGAAGCCATGGTAAGCCCCTCCCCCTCTCCTGACCGGGTAATCTCATTGGCTCTTTGCTGTTCCTAACCTCTCTGGCCTAGTCTGCATGATGAAGACTTTGGCACCTCTAAGGGGGAATTTTATTTCTGACGTTTATACGTTTCAGTTTGAAGTCCCTGCATGTGGTTTTGGGTGAAAGACTAAAAAACATTCTAATTCTTACCAGCAGAGTTGAAGAAAACCAAGATTTAATTCTTTACAAGTTAGCAGGTAAAAAATAATTTAAAGCCAACTGATAAAGACTTTAAATGTGTTAAAAACGTTGTTTCTTAACTCGTATTAAATCTTGGTGTTGTTTCCAAAACGACGAGGCGATCGGCTTCTTTAGACTTTCATCACTGCTGGATCTTCACCCTTCCTTCAGCAAGTCTTTTCAAAGTTTTATTTAACTCGTTTATCGTCTTTTCTGTTTTTTATTGCTAAATTTGTCTGATCACACGTCTGCAAAAGCCTCTTTGCTCTGATCATGTGCCACGCTGCAGGACTGGCCCACGATATTTAGGGGGTGCTTCTTGTTTGTTTTTATGAAATTGCTGATCTAATGCTGATTATTACAAAGTTTGCAGGTAAACTCACATTTTGGTCTCATGATATTTAGAATGTAGCATTATTATGCTTTTATTTAGCTGTCCCAGCATCTTTCATACATTTTTATTTCGGACAAACATGATTTTATCTTCAGCGTTATGCTCTGCTGCAGAGCACCCCTGCAGTTCTGGTTGTTAGCCAGCAGAGGTCAGTGTTGCCAACAGTTTGGCAGAGTCCGTGAAGTTTTGAGCAGGTGGGAGCTAATCCCTGGCTGTTTCCTCCTGCAGCTCCGAGTGATGTTTCTGTAAGTGCATGACTCCGTGTAGCTCTTTGGTCCTGACTGAACATCACTGTGCGCTCGCTGACCTCTTGACCTCCCGGCGGCTCCCTGCTGACCTCCGTTCCATCCGTGTTGCACCACAAACCTCTCACATCGCTTCTTTTCTGTCTCTCTGCGCTGCAGCGAGCCGGGTTGCAGCATTGAGCGTACGTTCATCCTGCATCCGTTTCTCCTCTTTGCCTTTTTTTCCCCTTCCATCTTCGCAGCTGACTGCTCGCTCCTTGTCGCATCCCTGGCCATCTGGGCTCTTGTCGCTTCGCCTGTCTCAGCGCCATCTGGTACCAAAGTTTCCCATGGTTCTGTGTTTGTTTGTTTGTTGTCCTGCAGTTTTGGTGACCTGCTGTCCTTCACTCTCACGGCCTTTGTGGAGCTGATGGATCACGGGATCGTCTCCTGGGACACCTTCTCTGTAGCCTTCATCAAGAAGGTCAGCCAGGAGAACGTCACACTCGGCACATCGACTTCCACAACCTCTAAAACACCTTCTTGTACTTTAATCTTCAGGTTTTATTGTTGCTTTATAGATATGATTCTGTTGAGATGTTCCAGGTTTAAAAAAAGAAGCACAAGGCATTATGATGGGTAGCTCGGAACTTCCAGAACCCCGTGGAACCATCGTCTGACTGGGAATGCTGGGCCACATGTGGACGATGTCAAACATTTGACAAGAAAGCAGAAAATGTTCTTAACTTAGCATAAAAAACACAAGAAATGGAGTGTTGTGGTTGTGAGTTTATCTTAAGACCGGTGCAGAAGAGCGAGTGTGTCAGAGAGACGGTGATGCTTGTGGAGGTTCCCTGCAGGTTTGCGGTTCCAGTCCTGCAGATCAAGTGGTTCAGACGTGACGGTGCATGTTCTGGATCCCAAACATTCAACCAACAAGCATCATTGCATGTAAAATATAAAAAAATACAACCGAATAAAGAGTGGTGGGATGGTGCGGCCCACGCAGAGTCCTGCTTTTAGATCTCCGGAGTGAGCCGGTGCCTTTTCTGTGCTGCTGTAGGTTTTGTTTTTGTTAAAGATAAAATTTAGAGTCAGGTTTTTTTTTCTGGCTGTTTTAAAACGGTTATTGATGCTCGTTTCTTTACATTTTAAACTCCGTTGTGTTTTTTTCCTCCTAAAGATTGCCAGCTTTGTGAATAAATCAGCCATGGACACAGCCGTGCTGCAGCGCTCCCTCGCCATCCTGGAGTCCATGGTCCTCAACAGTCAGGATCTTTACCACAAGGTGGCTCAAGAGATCACCATCGGACAGCTCATCCCACATCTTCAGGGGTGAGAGGAGGAATCTGAGGGGGTGAAAATGGGTCCGGCTGAGAAATCCCATTTCAAATCGCGCCTCTTTTTTTTTTTTAGGACGGATCAAGACATCCAGACCTACACCATCGCCGTCATCAACGCGCTGTTCCTGAAAGCTCCCGAGGAGAAGAGACAGGTGAGGATGACGTTGTGTGAGGAAGTCAAAAGCACAACGTTTACTCTGCGCCCATCTCTTCCTCTCCCACGCTCCTCGTAGCCACTCACGTGATCCTTGCATCAGCACCACGAGCCCAGGGATACTCTTTAAAGAGCAAGTCACCACCAAATCACTTTTTTTTTGCTGATAAACTATATAAAGGAGTGACTAATCATGCTACAGACACGTGTCGTCAATAATTTGGCAGTTCAGTGCATCTTGGTTAAAATTCAAATATTCTGCCTAAATCTGTCAGTGTTGCGCCGTCGTCAGGGAAAAACTCTGCACTGTATTTGAATTTAAATCTGACACCGCTATTGGCTAAGAGGTATGCTATGATGTCATCTGGTATATTATGATGTCATAATGCCATTGTGAGTCTGCGTGTGTGTGTATTTGTTAGCGGCTCCGCCCTCTCGGTCTGCCAAGCAACAGCATTTGTTGCATTTTTCAAACATGAAGTGGGAGTGGAGTAAGTTTATTGTAGGGGGTGACTTGCTCTTTAACAATAATGGATCATTCCGGCCCACAGCGGCACTCGTGCATAAGGAAGCGGGAATGCTCGGATGCTGCAGCTGAACGTGTATTAGTGCACGTCCTTGAATCCACGTCTGTGTTCCTGTTGGGCTCCAGATTAGCAGAGGCACTTTGGTCTTCTGCGTCACATTTCAGGACATGTGAGGGACTACACCCCCCCCCCCCCCCCCCCCCCCCCCAACCGTCTTTGTTCTGCTGACTCTGCCTCCCTCCACCACAAACTGCACCACTTACACATTATTTTTCCAGCCTCCTCACATTATTTTCTTTTGGTTGAAACGCCGCCACACTCACTCACCATCTCTCTCTCTCTGTCTCCGACCTTGTCTCCTCACTGCACACCACACGGTAGTTTGATGAGCACATTGTGGACATCCTAAATTGTCCCCTGACAGTAAGTGCACCCTTGATTAGCTCACTTTTTATAGTTTGCACTGTAGAAGACATCTTAGTGCATCTAGTATTCCTTTTTTTAAGTTTCTTTCTTGATCGGCTTCCTATTTTTTTATTTTTCTCAATCGCCTGTCGCTGCACACTTCTTTTTCTTTTTTTTTTTTTGCCAAGTTAGTTACTCACATCAGCACCAGAAACCTGTTATAAGACTTGATTGCTGCCCTTAGGTACGCCTCATTTTTGTCCTTCTCTCTCCTCCTGTTTTATTTTACGCCCTACAGGAGATGGCCCACATCCTCGCCCAGAAGCAGCTGCGCTCCATCATCCTTACTGTAAGTTGGTGCGACTGAAAGCTCCAGTTATGCCTACAAAACTCAAAACCATCTCATTTTATTCCTTTTTGTGTTCACCATGGGCCGCACCCTCTGTCTTCATCCAGAATGTAATCCGGAGCCCCACGCCCATAAACGATGAGATGGCGCATCAGCTCTACGTCCTGCAGGTGCTCAATTTCAACTTGCTGGAGGACCGCATGATGACCAAGATGGACCCTCAGGACCAGGTCTGTACGGAGATGTGCCGGGATCACGGAGAAGGCGACAGATACTTGAGGAAAACCAGACTAAAGTTTGTTTGTGGTGGATGAGTAATTATCTTATCTGCAGCAGATGGTGGTTTGAACAGCCTCGGTTTAGAGAAAGATTAATTAATTAGATTTAATCAATTTCCCTCTGGGATTAATAAAGTATTTTTGAATTTGAATTGAATTGAATTGAAGAGGTTATTTGTGATCTAACAGATGGTTCCTATGAGGCAAAATGGCTGCAAATGATCCTGACTTTAAAGAAAATGTTAGGATGAAATGTTAAGTTTTTTTCATCACCCTTCATCACAATTTTCTTGGTGACTCATGCAGAGATATTCTGAAACCGGCTGAGACTTCAACCATTATTATGTTATTATAAGCAACCATTATTGTGAAATTATTGGTGATGTAAGCGTAAAAAAAGCACTTTAGATATAAAACTTGTCAGAAAACATGCACATTTTTTGCATGATCACATCAAATGATATATATTTTTTATCTTTTTTTATTTCATTCGAAATAAAAACAAATGAAACATATAAACAATCAGAAATACATGACAAAAAAATCTAATTTGAACAAAAAGGAGCAGAATGAAGAAAAACATCTTATAATTTCTGCCCCCTTTTCCAGAAGAAATAATCAATTTATATACAGTTGTGGTCAGCAGTTTACATACACTTGTAAAAAATATAATATAATATAATGGCTCTACTGAGTGTCCCGTTATTTCTAAAACTCTGATTTTTCTCTGATAGAGTGATTGGAACAGATACTTCTTTGTCACAAAAAACATTCATGAAGTTTGGTTCTTTAATGTCTTTATTATGGGTTAACAGAGAAAAGTGATCACATTTGCTGGGTCACAAATATACGTACAGCAACAGGAACTAGCAATTTTGGTGACTTAGAAACGTGTCAGTGAACTGAGCTTCATAGCATGGCCTCTTAACTTCTTGTGAGTGATTATGAGTGACTACAGCTGGTGACTTCTCTTAGGCCAGGTAAACAGGGCTCATTGGATACAAACGCCCACAAACGCTACAATGGGAAAGTCAAAGGAGCTCAGCATGGATCTGAAAAAGCGAATTATTGACTTGAACAAGTCAGGAAAGTCACTTGGGGCCATTTCAAAGCAGTTGCAGGTCCCAAGAGCAACAGTATTATTGTTTGTAAGTTTAAGGTGCATGGCACTGTTTCATCACTGCCAAGATCAGGAAGAAAACGCAAGCTATCACCTGCTGCTGAGAGAAAATTGGTCAGGATGGTAAAGAGTGAACCAAGAATCACCAAAAAGCAGATCTGCCAAGAATTAGAAGCTGCTGGAACACAGGTGTCATTGTCCACAGTCAAACGTGTTTGGCATCTCCATGGACTGAGAGGCTGCCGTGCAAGAAGGAAGCCCTTGCTCCAAAAGCGGCACCTTAAGGCTCGACTGAAGTTTGCTGCTGATCACATGGACAAAGATAAGACCTTCTGGAGGAAAGTTCTGTGGTCAAACGAAACGAAAATCGAGCTTTTTGGCCACAATGCCCAGCAATATGTTTGGAGGAGAAAAGGTGAGGCCTTTAACCCCAAGAACACCATGCCTACAGTCAAGCATGGTGGTGGGAATATTATGCTGTGGGGCTGTTTTGCTGCCAATGGAACTGGTGCTTTACAGAGAGTAAATGGGATAATGAAGAAGGAGGATTACCTTCACATTCTTCAACATAACCTAAAATCATCAGCACGAAGGTTGGGTCTTGGGCGCAGCTGGGTGTTCCAACAGGACAATGACCCCAAACACACATCAGAAGTGGTAGAGGAATGGCTAAATCAGGCTAGAATAAGGGTTTTAGAATGGCCTTCCCAAAGTCCTGACTTAAGCCCCATTGAAAACATGTGGACAGTGCTGAAGAAACAAGTCCATGTCAGAAAGCCATCAAATTTAACTGAACTTCACCAATTCTGTCAAGAGGAGTGGTCAAAGATTCAACCAGAAGCTTGGGGATGGCTACCAAAAGCGCCCAATTGAAGTGAAAATGGCTAAGGGACATGTAACCAAATATTAGCACTGCTGTATGTATATTTGTGACCCAGCAAATGTGATCACTTTTCTCTGTTAACCCATAATAAAGACATTAAAGAACCGAACTTCATGAATGTTTTTTGTGACAAAGAAGTATCTGTTCCAATCACTCTATCAGAGAAAAATCAGAGTTTTAGAAATAACGGGACACTCAGTAGAGCCATTATATTATATTTTTTACAAGTGTATGTAAACTTATGACCACAACTGTATAATTACCATTTGTCAGACACACACACACATTCATTTTAAACTGTTTCCTGTTCTAAATTCCAGTGCGGTCATGATCATTGATTTAATTTACATTTTCATAATAATTTAGTACACTCAATTTGGTACATTTTTTGAATATATTAACTGACAGTTATTTAATTTCCCTTTTAAGGTTATTCCATAATTTAACACCATTTACAGATATATTCCACTCCTTAATTTTAGTTCTAAATCTAGGTTTTGTAAACACATCAGTTTCTTTCAGCGTGTAATTACTAGTTCTCTTTTCAAATATCCCCTGAATGTTTGTTGGCAGAGTACCTAAATTGGCTTTATACATGGTTTGCAAGATTTTCCAGTTTTTTAAATCATGAAATTTCAGTAATTTATATTTAATAAACAATGGGTTCGATGGATCTCTACAGCCACTATAACTGATTATTCTCAGAGCACTTTTCTGTAAAATAAATAAGGGTTGTGTAAAGTTTTTGTATGTTGCTCCCCAGATTTCTACACAATAAGTTAAGTATGGAACAATCAGTGAATTGTACAACGCCAACCAACCAGAATTAGTCAGTAAAAACTTGACTCTATGTAATACTCCTAAGGATTTGGCAATTTTAACTTTTATGTAACTAATATGGGATTTCCATGTCAAGTCTTCATTAATAAAAACTCCAAGAAATTTAGTTTTTTTTACTCTTTGAATTGCAATCCCATCTATTTCCAACGACACATCACTGTTCTTTTTATCATTAAACAGTATAAAATTTGTTTTATTAAGATTCAGTGTCAATCTATTTATATCAAACCAGTTTTTAAATTTAATCAGTTCATCATTTATCACTTTAGCCACCTCCTTAATATTTGATCCTGAGTAAAACAGTGTTGTATCATCTGCAAATAGAATGGTACCGAGTGTCTTAGATACATTTACCAAGTCGTTAATAAACAAAATGAACAGTTTTGGTCCGAGGACCGACCCTTGTGGCACTCCACAATTAATTTCACATAGTTTTGATTTATGGTCCTTTATCTGAACAAACTGTTTCCTGTTTTCTAAAGAAGTTTTAACCCATTGATGAGCCACACCTCTTTTTCCATACTGACTTAATTTTCGAAGTAACCTTGAGTGATCAATGACGTCAAAACTTTTTTTCAAATCAATGAAAACACTAACAAAGTCATTTTTATTGTCAATTGCTGTTGATATTTTATCTGTTAATTCCATCATTGCCATTGCTGTGGAATGTTTAGTTCTAAACCCATATTGTTCGTTGTTTAAAATATTATTTTTTTCGATGAATTTATCCAACCTTGATACAAATACTTTTCCCAGTATTTTAGAAAACTATGGAAGCAGTGACACCGGCCTGTAATTATTGTAACTACGTTTATCACCACTCTTGTACAAAGGAATGACTTTCGCTGTTTTCATTGCGTCAGGAAAATTTCCAGTAGAAAGTGATATTTTACAAATGTAAGTGAATGGTTCAATGACGGATTCTTTGATGGTTTTAACAGTTATCATGTCCAGATAATTGCAAACTTTAGTCACAAAAGACCCGTTTTGTTTATTTTTTTATATTTTTGTGTGTCCTGTCTGGCTGTGAAGCCAACAGAACTGATGTCTGAATGCTGGTGACAAGCCTTACAGATTCACTCTCAGGTGGAGCATCAAAGCGTTTGCTTTTAATGTCACGCCTGATACTTAAAACTTTGTTGTTATGTTTTTGAAGACCCGTTTTCACTATCAGAACCTCTGCTGCGTGCACGTGTCTCCATTTTACCGGGCCAGCCCAAAGGACCACAGTCTGGGCCACTTACAGATACAGCCAGGTCCATAAATATTGGGACATGGACACAATGCTAACATTTTTGGCTCTACACGCCACCACAATGGACATCAAATGAAACGAACAAGATGTGCTTTAACGGCAGACTGTCAGCTTTTATTTGAGGGTATTTACATCCAAATCAGGTGAACGGTGTAGGAATTACAACAGTTTGCATTTGTGTCTCCCACTTGTTAAGAGACCAAAAGTAATGGGACAGAATACGAACCATAAATCAAACTTATACATTTCAATGCTTGGTTGCAAATCCTTTGCAGGCAATTACAGCCTGAAGTCTGGAACACATAGACATCACCAGACGTAGGGTTTCATCCCTGGTGATGCTCTGCCAGGCCTCTACTGCAACAGTCTTCAGGTCCTGCTTGTTCCTGGAGCATTTTCCCTTCAGTTTTGTCTTCAGCAAGTGAAATGCATGCTCAATCAGATTCAGGTCAGGTGACTGACTTGACCATTGCAAAACAGTCCACTTCTGTCCCTTCAAAAACTCTTTGGTTGCTTTTCCAGCATGCTTTGGGTCACTGTCCATCTGCACTGTGGAGCGCCGTCCAATGAGTTCTGAGGCATTTGGCTGAATATGAGCAGATGATGTTGCCCGAAACACTTCAGAATTCATCGTGCTGCTTTTGTCAGCAGTCACATCATCAATAAATACAAGAGAACCGGTTCCACTGGCAGCCATACATGCCCACGCCATGACACTTCCAGCACCATGCTTCACTGATGAGGTGGTATGCTTAGGATCATGAGCAGTTCCTTTCCGTCTCCATACTCTTCTCTTGCCATCACTCTGGTACAAGTTGATCTTGGTCTCATCTGTCCGTAGGATGTTGTTCCAGAACTGTGAAGGCTTTTTTAGATGTTGTTTGGCAAACTCTAATCTGGCCTTCCTGTTTTTGGGGCTCACCCATGGTTTACATCTTGTGGTGAACCCTCTGTATTCACACTGGTGGAGTCTTCTCTTGATTGTTGACTTTGACACAGACACACCTACCTCCTGGAGAGTGTTCTTGATCTGGCCAATTGTTGTGAAGGGTGTTTTCTTCACCAGGGAAAGGACTCTTCGGTCATCCACCACAGCTGTTTTCCGTGGTCTTCCGGGTCTTTTGGTGTTGCTGAGCTCACCGCTGCGTTCCTTCTCTTTGAGAACGTTCCAAACTGTTGTTTAGGCCACGCCTACTGTTTTTGCCATCTCTCTGATAGGTTTCTTTTGTTTTTTCAGCCTAATGATGGCTTGCTTCACTGATAGTGGCAGCTCTTTGGATCTCATCTTGACAGTTGACAGCAACAGATTCAGAATGCAAATAGCACACTTGAAATGAACTCTGGACCTTTTATCTGCTCATTGTAATTGGGATAATGAGGGAAGAACACACACCTGGCCATGGAACAGCTGAGAAGCCAATTGTCCCACTACTTTTGGTCTCTTAACAAGTGGGAGGCACATATGCAAACGTTGTAATTCCTACACCGATCACCTGACTTGGATGTAAATACCCTCAAATAAAAGCCGACAGTCTGCAGTTAAAGCACATCTTGTTCGTTTCATTTGATATCCATTGTGGTGGTGTGTAGAGCCAAAAATGTTAGCATTTATGGACCTGACTGTATTTTCCATCGACAGGTCTGGAACGGTCTGGTCTGGTTATTTTTGGACCGGTATGTTACGGTATGGGTCTGGAATTTTCAGACGAGCATTTCGATCGCAGTTTGGACCGTCACGTCGGCAGGCGGGGCTAAACGAGCCATCGATTTTAAATGTTGTGAAACTATTCAGTGTTTCTGTGCTGCAACAAATGGTCTACAGAGCTAAAGACGAAACCAAAATGCTTACCACAGCCTCCACATGTGACTCCAGAGTGCAGCCGCTAAGTCTAAAAGCCTGCCTTGCTGCCTCGGCTATAAATGGCATCCAGCACGTCGTAGCAACTCCGTGTATTTCTCCCATCTGAAAATAAATCCATTTCGGCTGTTTCTGTCTTCAACAGGGTGTCCACAGGTCCTTAAAAAGTCTAAAATTTGCTTTTCCAAAATTTAAGGCCTTAAAAATCCTTAAAAATGACAAATAATCCTTAAATACAGTTTCCAAAGGTCTTAAATTACCAAAGACCCAATAAATAAGATTCTTTTATTACTATAAAATTTTCGTGAATTTCTAGTTAGTGTTCAGCATTTTTGTGTACGATGTTGGCGTAAGCGGAACCGTACACGTTCAGTTGGTTTCTCTGACTTGTCTCATTCAGAAAATCCACCAACTGGCTTCTTTACACATAAAATTAATCATATGCTTTAAGATTATTCAGCAGTGAATTCTCCTGATAAAAACTGTTCCCGGAGCTGGCTGTCGGCCACCTCTGCCTCGGGCGCCGTCTGATCCCACGCAGCTCCAGACGAGTGGGACCGAGACTTAGACGATGAATTAAAAGAAAAGGAAAGCCATCTGTGGATTGTTAACGCTACTTGTGTGTGTGTGTGTGTGTGTGTGTGTGTGCGTGCAGGCTCAGAGGGACATCATCTTTGAGCTCCGGAGAATCGCCTTCGACGTGGAGTGTGAGCCCAACAACAGCGGCAGCACCGAGAAACGCAAGTCCATGTACACCCGCGACTACAAGAAGCTCGGCTTCATCGTGAGTCCCACCTCAACCAGTTTACAAATAAACAAACACTTCTCCTAAAGCTCCTCGCTTCCTCACGCTGAAGTGTGAGGAGCGACTGCAGCACACCTGTGTGACTAAAGTGACCCGCTGTGACTTGGTGTGAGCCTCGAGTTTTTCAGGAGCCCTCTGCTGTGTGCTCAGTCAAGATGAGGCCGGCTGGGCCTGACACTGTGTGTGCATGTGTGTGTGCTCGCCAAGGGCGTAGGAACAAGTTTAATTTTGGGGGGGACACATTTTGGAAATCTAACAAATCTGTTGTAGGTCAATTTATAGGTCAACTTCACTGAAAAAAAAATACGTTAGAATCAGAAATAATCATTTAATGTGTCACTGAGTGTTTCATGCAGGCTGAACATGAACATGGTCTCCTACCGCTATCTCCTGCATTAGCTTCTGATAGAAAATCTGATAGACGGTGAAATTCTAGGATTAGAAAAGTCTGACAGATGTGACTCTGGGTGTAAGGCAAAGCACAGAAAGACAAGAAAATAACTTTGATAGCTCAGTTCACTAACATTCTGTGTTTTTTTTATCGGGGACCGATGAGCCAGCCAGCAGGGGAGGAGACTTAGGCTCCCCATTAGCCAGATCCAGGTGATTACTGGCTAACGTGGACGTTTTAATTATAAAAAAAGCTGTTTTTGTGTCAGTACGGTTTTATTTTTACTTAATAATATGAATGTAGGATATATTATCTTATTCATATGGGTAGAGATGTGTAAACAGATTTAATACAAGACTAAAGCTGTGAATATTCAGTCTGAATTGATCTGACTCTGATCAGAATCTTTTATTTATTTATTTATTTATTTGGCAGACGCTTTTATCCAAAGCGACTTACAATTTGTAACCTGTAGGGCATGTTGTGATCTGTGGGGGAATCCGGAGTACCCGGAGGAAACCCACACATGCATGGGGAGAACACGCAACTCCACGCAGAAAGGCCACAGCCGAGGTTTGAACCTGCAACCTTCGTGCTGCGAGGTAACAGTGCTAACCACTGCGCCACCACGCAGCCCAAACTACATCAGCCAACAATGCTGACCAACAATCAGAAAAATCTGTTTGCTTCTGACATAATGGAAAAAGAAATAATTCACTCACAACAACAGCTGGAACTACGTTAATTTTCAGACGGACAAAAGAAACAACAGTGTCCAAAATTGCAGTCAAAATGCACCCGAATGCAGAGTTTAACACCTATTTTTCTAATATTTCTAAGGAAGCATTTTTTTATTCTTAAACCATACTGCCCAGCTCTACTTGTTATGGGATTACATATATTTAACTTTGTTCGCTTATTATTACATTCAAATCTTCCTCTCATCAGTAACATCTCATTCTTCACTGTAGCACCTACCTGCACCTCAGCAGGTCGTGCTCTCCCTGTCTCACCCTCAACTGGTTCTTGCTGAACTTCATCTGATCTCCAATATAAAAACAGTGGACATGAATAAGGAGTAAAAAAAATACTGTTGGAGGACTAGTGCAATATTAAAATCATGGTTTCCATCTGCCGTTAGACTTGTGAATAGATTATAAACACACAACCATGCTCGTCTTCTGTACTCGACACAACGTCACGTTATCGGCCATGTTACCATTACCTGCCATTTTTTATAGCTGAAAGTTTTATTCTATTTTATTCTATTTTTAATCTTATTATTCATGTTATATGTAGCACATTAGTACCGAAGCAAGTTCCTAGTTTGTGAATTGTTTGTTCACTGACAATGGCAATAAACCTTTTCTGATTCTGATTATTTAGTTGTGTTCACTTGTTATCATGCTCGAATCTTCCTCTCATCATCAACCATCTAAAATCTCACTCCACCGTAGCACCTACCTGCACCTCAGCAGGTCTGGCGCTGCCTGTCTCCCCCTCAGCAGGTCTGGCGCTGCCTGTCTCCCCCTCAGCAGGTCTGGCGCTGCCTGTCTCCCCCTCAGCAGGTCTGGCGCTGCCTGTCTCACCTTCTTCATCATTTCCTGTTGAACTTCCTCTGGTCTCTGAAAAAAGTGACATGAATAAGGTTTAAAAATGAAATGTGATGAGAATGTCACAAACAAGCAACAATCACACTTACAAACTCCATTTCTATGCGGAGATTCTACTTTATTCATTTCGTGTCAAATGGTTTTTGTCTGTTACTGTAAAATTCGCCATTTTTTGTTGACTAGTAGTGTTGTTTAATGTTTAATGCTAACTAGCAAGATGTTTACGCTAGTCAGCCATTTTAGCGTTTGACCAGAAATACAATTATACTCTTGGACTAAATTATTACCAACTCACAATTACTTTCTTTATTTTTTTGCCCATGAGAAGAACTCGCTGAGCTGCTGCCGTCTGTACCTGACACCGTGGCTGTGTCTCAATTCAGGGTCTGCATCCTACCTCGGCCGGATTCGTCGGCCGGTTACGTCACAGCGCCGCGACTCGGCCTGTCCCAATTCGAAGACTCCTTCAAATGCGGTCGACGAATGCGGCCTTCTTTTCGCCTGAATGAAGGATGGGTCGGGTGTATCCTTCAATAGGTAGCATTTCCCAAGATGCCTTGCGGGCCGGCCGGCAGAAAAACTTAAAAACAATGGCGGACAGTGAAGCGGGAGCTGTCGGAGAGGATTGCGCATATAAATGTAAGTATAAACTTGAAAACTGTCAGTTTAAGGACTTTTTGTGATACATGAACGTTATTTTAGTTAGAAATGTTACAGTAAAAGTGCTTGTATTGCGGTCTCGGCTCGTATGTTCGGCCGCGCTCGGTGTCGTACTTCTCCCACTACGTTTCCCCCTGATTTTAATAGAAGTTTGTATTTTAGGACCAAAAGAGAAAACCAGGGAATTTATTAAGCTTAGGGCGGAGATGGACCACATGATCACCGGAGCAAAGTATTCGGCGGCTGTGGCATGGAGGTACAATAACATCTCATATTTTAAAAACTCGTTTGAGTATATTTTTTTCTGCGAAAACATGAAAGAAATAACCCGTTGTCCTCTTTTCTCTTCCTGTTTCTTTTCTTACATGTTTGTTAAGACTATTCTGGAGAAAATGGGCATCCAGGGGAAGGTGCCAGCGATGAGCTTCTGGAGCTGATCTGGGAGGACATGAGGCTGCAGAGCAGCAGAGAGCACAGGAGAGAAGGAAGAACTTTGACAGCTTTTTACTTTGCTAGAAAAAAATGGTTAATGAAGATTAAACATGTACATGTAAAAGAAATATCTAAATAAAATCAGTTCTGCATTAAACTCTTGAATTTTATTTTTGTTTACAAATGAGAATTGTTTACTAGAGGGTATCCGCTGGGTCTTGAAAAGTCTTAAAAGGTGATAAATCGGTTTTGGTCAAAGTAAGACCCTTAGAAAGTATTAAAAACTATTATCACATCTTTGCTCAGGCTCAGCTAGTCTAAAGTATTTTCTCTGAATTAGCTCTCCAACAGTCAAGGAAATGATTAACCCCCAGAGACCCACGGTTGTAGTATTACAACATCAGATTTAAGTCTACAAAAATAAACCTTCCCCATTTTTTTTTCTTTTTAAAACCACATTTACATTGCTAATAGGTCCTATTCAGTTCTGCAACACTATTGGCTGTTAAAATGTGTAAATAGGCCCGTTTATCTGGCCTAGAACAACATGTGAAAGGTTAAAAATATTTTGCAGTTGTTTTCTAAATATTGGGTTTCTGGGGGTTAAAAAGCTAAATAAAACGTCGAGCTCCATCGTTTAAGGTTCCTTCTGCCCAGCGGTTCCACGGTTGCTAGGCGACGGAACGTTCGCCGAGGGAGTTCATGAAGGCTAGGCCTGTCCAAATTCACAGCCGTTAACATCCGGTCTACCCGGCCGACGGAGGACGCAGCCCACGTCGGCCGGGTGGGCTGGGTCCTTCGAAGGATGCAGACCCTGAATTGAGACACAGCTGCCCCAGCTCTGACTCCTGCTTCTCTCAACCAGCATGTCTGACTGCCTGAGGGGAGGGGCTGTGTCGGAGAGAAGTCCACGGTGTCTTTCAAAATAAAAGCTCGCGAGTCAAATATTCCAAAATCAATCTTTTTCTTCTCCATGTTATTGGGGGGGACAAATGCGCGTTTGTCCAATATTGGAGGGGACTCGTCCCACCCGTCCACCCCAGTTCCTACGCCCTTGGTGCTCGCAGTCAATCCAACCTCTTACAGTGTACACACACACACACACACACACACACACACACACACACACACACACACACACACACACACACACACACACACACACACACACACACACACACACACACACACACACACACACACACACACAAGGACTATTTAGAGAGACCAATCAGCCCAACAGTCATGTTTTTGGACCACGGAAAGACGCGGGAATACCTGGAGAGAACCCACACGTGCACAGGGAGAACATGCAAACGCCTTGCAGAAAGACCCCGGCGACGGTGGCACAGGAGTTAAGTGCTCGCCCAGTAATCGGAAGGTTGCAGGTTCGAGCCCCGCTCAGTCTGTCGCTGTCGTTGAGTCCTTGGGCAAGACACTTAACCCACCTTGCCTGTTGGTGGAAGTCAGAAGGGCCGGTGGCGCCAGTGCTCGGCAGCCTCGCCTCCGTCAGTGCGCCCCAGGGCAGCTGTGGCTACATCGTAGCTCATCACCACCAGTGTGTGAATGTGTGTGTGAATGGATGAATGACTGGTTGTGTTGTAAAGCGCCTTGGGGGGTTCCAAGACTCTAGGAGGCGCTATATCAAATACAGGCCATTTACCATTTACCCCAGGTTGGGATGTGAACCCAGGACCTTCTTGCTGCAAGGCCACTGCGCCACCGTGCAGCCCCTTTCTGTTTCATTATTAAGTAAAAAACTTCACGTTGTTAAATGTTCATGTTCATATCACGATCTGAGGATAATTTAATAAAATCTTCTACCTGAATGTATTTTTCTGTTTTGAGCAAGGGGGAACTCCAAAAAAAACGTTTTAGGTTTAGTAGGTCAAGTTTACAGTCATGACAACTCTGAGGAGCGGGAATGTGTTTGTAACTTTTCCATTTAGATGTAATGAAAGCTTGAAATTAGGAATAATCAGGGGCGTGTCCTTTTGATTGGCAGGTGGCGCTAGAAGGTTTCCTCCCTGCTTGCTCCAGGGAACATTACACGGCAGCAGCCTGGACACCAATCCAAGGTGCCCTGGTTTGGTGTCCAGGCTGCTGCTGTCGAGGCAGATGGCTCCCTTGATGGCGTGTCTTTCATTACCTGTCCAATCCAAGCTCAGCCTAGTGTTTACTGTGGTGTTTTAATGTGTTATGTTTACGTGTGTGTGTGTGTGTGTGTGTGTGTGTGTGTGTGCACCTGGGAATGGTTTGTGGATTGGGGGGTGAAACTGTTGTAATTGTTTTAAGTGTGGGAAAGCGAGGGAATGTGGGTTATGTGGGTCATTTAAATCTGTTAAGCACTTTGTGTTGCTTCCTGTGCATGAAAAGTGCTTTATAAATAAAGTTTGATTTGATCAGATTAAAAGTGTTCGAGCCTTGAAGGCAAATGCAGAGTCACTCACCTGCAGCTTTCTGGGTAAATGCACCCGCCAGCCTCTGTTAGCTTCAGTTAGCTGTGGGTGATGGGTGTCAATCGTCTGCCGCCATAGCTCTCGGCTCCATTTTAGTATTATCTGGGAGTGATGAGGCGCGTGACATGGCAATCCTCAACAATCCGATGGACCCTCCTCTCCAGAACCCCTGAATAGACCTTACCAGGAAGGCTCAGGAGTGTGATACCTCTGTAGTTGGAACACACCCTGCGGTCCCCCTTTTTAAATAAGGGGACCACCGCCCTGGCCTGCCAGTCCAGTGGGACTGCCCCTGATGTCCACGCGATATTGCAGAGCCGCGTCAGCCAACACAGCCCCACAACATCCAGAGCCTTAAGGAACTCATCCACCCCGGAGCCTTGCCACAGAGGAGCTTTTTAACCACCTCAGTGACCTCAGCACCAGAGATTTGAGAGGCCAACCCAAAGTCCCCAGACTCTGCTTCCTCACTGGAAGACATGTCGGTGGGATTGAGGAGGTCTTCGAAGTATTCTGCCCACCGATCCACAACGTCCTGAGTAGAGGTCAGCAGCACACCGCCCCCACTATAGTGTTGGTAGCGCACTGCTTTCCCCTCCTGAGGTGCCGGATGGTGGACCTGAATCTCCTCGAAGCCATACGGAAGTCTTGCTCCATGGTCTCACCGAACTCCTCCCATGCCCGGGTTTTTGCCTTGGCGACCACTCGAGCTGCGTTACACTTGAACTGCCGGTACCCGTCAGCTGCCTCTGGAGTCCCACAGGCCAAGAAGACCTGATAGGACTCTTTCTTCAGCTTAACAGCATCCCTAACCGCCGGTGTCCAACAGCAGGTTTGGGGGTTGCCACCACAACAGGCACCGACGATCCTGCGACCACAGCTCCGGTCGGCCGCCTCAACAATGGAGGCACGGAACAGGGTCCATTCAGACTCAGTGTCCCCCGCCTCCCCCGGAACATTTCGGAAGTTCTGCCGGAGGTGGGAATTGGACTGCCAGACGTTCCCAGCAGACCCTTGCGATACGTTTGGGTCTGCCTGGTCTGACCGGCATTCTCCCCCACCATCTGAGCCAACTCACCACCAAGTAGTGGTCAGCTGACAGCTCCGCCCCTCTCTTCACCCAAGTGTTCAAGACATGCGGCCGCAGATCAGATGAAACGACAACAAAGTCAATCATCGAGCTGCGGCCTAAGGTATCCTGGTGCCAAGAGCACTTATGGACACCTTTATGTCTGAACATGGTGTTCATTATGGACAATCCATGACTGGCACAGAAGTCCAATAACAAAACACCACTCAAATTCAGATCAGGGGGGCCGTTCCTCCCAACCACACCTCTCCAGGTCTCACTGTCGTTGCCCACGTGAGCGTTAAAGTCCCCCAGCAGAACGAGGGAGTCACCGGAAGGAGCGCTTTCCAACACCCCCTCCAAGGTCTCCAAATAGGGTGGGTAGTCTGAACTGTAGTTTGGTGCATAAGCACAGACCACAGTCACAACCCGTCCCCCCACACGTAGGCGGAGGGAGGCTACCCTCTCATTCACTGGGGTAAACCCCAACGTACAGGCACCAAGATGGGGGGCAACTAGTATGCCCACCCCTGCTCGGCTCCTCCCAGTGGGAGCAGCTCCAGAGTGGTAGAAAGTCCAACCCCTCTCAAGAAAACTGGTGCCAGAGCCAGAGCCATGCGTTGAGGTGAGTCCGACTATATCTAGTCGGAACCTCTGAACCTCACACACCAACTCAGGCTCCTTCCCCACCAGAGAGGTGACATTCCATGTGCCAAGAGCCAGATTCTGTAGCCGAGGATCAGACCGCCAAGGTCCCCGCCCTCGACTACCACCCGTCACACACTGCACCCAACCCCTTTGGCCCCTCCCACGAGTGGTGAGCCCATGGGAAGGGGGACCCACGCTTCCTCTTCGGGCTGTGCCCGGCCGGGCTCCATGGGTGAAAGCCTGGCCACCAGGCGCTCGCCAACGTGCCCCACCTCCAGAGGGGGGCCCCGGTGACCCACGTCCGGGCGAGGGAACACGGTTTTCATTAATATAATTCATCACAAGAGGTCTTCGGGCTGCTCTTTAAGTGCCTCGTGATTTTTATCTTGAGAGGCGCTATAGAAATGATACTTTCTTCTTCTTCTTCTTCTTCTTCTTCTTCTTCTCTTTGTCTGATCCCTCACCTCACCTATCATATTACTAATTTACATTTATATTCTAACCTTCATTGCCCTGAATAAATCTGACAAACGTGTCTATTTTTCCTAGAATCACGTGAATCCAGCCATGGATTTCACCCAGATTCCTCCAGGAATGTTGGCTCTGGATAACATGCTGTACTTTGCCAAACACCACCAAGATGCTTACATCCGGGTGAGCACTGTTTGTTTTTATGTTATCTGAGGTAAACTGAATCTATTTTAAAGCTAAACCCACATAAACCTGTTACAATCTTTTTTAATTTTACTTTAAAATTGTGTGTGTGTGTGTGTGTGTGTGTGCGTGTGTGTGCGTGTGTGTGTGTAGATCGTTCTGGAGAACAGCAGCAGAGAGGACAAGCACGAGTGTCCGTTCGGCCGCAGCAGCATTGAGCTGACCAAGATGCTCTGTGAGATTCTGAAAGTGGGCGAGCTGCGTAAGTCCACACACACACACACACACACACACACACACACACACACACACACACACACACACACACACACACACACACACAACGCTGTTATAGAGATGCATCACCCCATCATCCACTCCCTCTCAGCCCCTCTCCTTAGGAAAACATGCCGCTCAAACACGGACACCAAATCCACATCATCTTGTTAAACTTGTTTTGAGTTCCTCTCCAGAAGGACCCTCGCTGCTCTCCGCAGGCCAACCGGTCCTCTCCTCACAGTTTACAGTTTTGGGAACTTGAACTGGATTTATACATTTTCTACCTGAAACTCACGAGATGCTATTTTAAACATTTCAGAGCAATCATAGTGGGAAGTTTAATGTATATGTATAGAATATTTAATGTGTGTGTGTGCGTGTGTGTGCGATTAAAATATTAGTGTTGACACTATAGAGACATTATTCTAAGTTTTTTTTTTCTTGAGACACTTTGCCAACCCGGAATAAAGATGCTTGGATTATATAAATCTGTGAATTCCCGGTTTCATAACCCTAGATTCCCAGCAAAGCATCATGACAACAGCGTTTGCAGCAACACACACACCAGCAATGAATCGGGAGCACCTGGACATTTCCTGGTAGCCTGGCCACAAAACTGTTCCATTCATCAAATTCCGAGTGGCTCCGTTTTTGTGAGCTCCTGAAGATAAAACCCAACCATTCTTCACAGCTAAACTTAAATCACCACAGACAAAAACAGATTTTAGACATTATCAATAGTGCAGACTAGATAAGAAACTATTTTTTAGCTACCTGGAGAGACTGGGTGTTAGTGTTTACAGTCCAGGGGAGCAGGAGCGGGGCACGGGCACAACTTCTCCATCCAGGCGTTTGCAATAGCTTATAGATCTGAAGAGAAGCTGCAGCTCAGAGAGCAGGATGCATTCGTGAAGCCAAAATCTGCTTTGGGGGTGTTTTTAATGAGGAAATAACATGATCCATAGCTCCAAAAGTTGCATGATACAGTCTCTGTAAAGTCTTGCCCAAATGCTGTCCTGACCTTCTGTCCTCCCAGGCTGAAAATGTCCATTTTGGTCTCTTTAGCGTCTCAGTTTGACCTGATTTGTGTCAAACAGCAGAGGACGTCTCCACAGGGAAACGTTCCTTTACCCTAAGATGTTTCTTAGCAGTCGAAGGCTCATGCAGACGAAGTGAATCCCACCAGGGGCATCAGGAAAGACCTTTTGTTTCTATGCCAAGCGCTTTTAATTGAAGACATTTAATCAGGGAAATGGAATTTCAGTGGTTTTATTTTCTGTATTAAGCTGCTGAAGCTGAAGTTTGTCTCTCAGGATCTGATGCCGCCGCTGAAACGAAGCGGTGACCTTGCCTTGTTGTGGCTGAACGTCGTCCTCTTTGCCGCGTCTGCTCGCCCCAGAGAGTGAATCTATCATTAATATTTAAGGTGCAGTTGAGTGTGTTTATGTGTGTGTTTATAACATATGCTCAGAGATAAAAACAGGTAAGGTGAGCCCGTAACCTCTGAAGAACACCAGATGCTAAACTCTGCTGGAGTCATGCATGAGTGCTAAATTAAAAAGGACTCAAGAGGAATATTTGTAAGAACTCATCAAATGCATGAGTACAAAATAATAAAAGATGTTTTTTTTTGCTCTCTAAGTCCTTGTCTCCAGCTCTGATGGAGCTGGTTTTATCCATTTTACAAGAGTTCTGATGGGCTTTTGCTTTTTCTCGTGCAGATATTAGAGTGGATTTTCATTAGTCTCCACCAACATGCTTTTACACTCCAAAATAATTAATATTTTAATATATCTTATAAACAGGAACACCGTTGAAGCTTCGGTGCAGTAAAAGCCTGTAAAATCCACTTTGTGAGGAAAATGGTTAGCGGTGATGGAGCAGGTGGAGCTGGGAAATTGGTGCAGATTTGGTGCAATTTACCAAAGTATTTAGAGAAAAAGGCTTGACAATGTTTTTATTTACATTAAGAAAGTGGGAAAAAAAGCCTGAGAAGTCATTTTGCTACTTTGAGACAATAAAAAAAATTCATGGTTTTCTGAGAGCTTAATGGCTTTTTACACGTCGAACTAAACAATCATCCTTTCTTTATAAATAATTAGGATCCAGATTTTGGTTTCTCCTGCAAACAATTCCTCTCCAGATGTTTCCGACGCGATACGTTTTCATAATTGAATTAACTCTCGGAGCTCTGAGGTTCTAAATAATTCATAACCCTCTGCAGGTGTCGCTCTTGCCATCCTTCCTCTTTTAAATGATTCCTTTTCCTCCTCTCTCACTCCTAAAAGATTAATTGTCCCACCGCGTTCCTGCTGCAGCTTAATGGAATCGGCGACTCGCCGGGCCATGTCGTCTCCGCCGCCCGTGTTTAAGACGGCCTATGGAATATTTATGAAGTTATTTTGAAAGGGTCGGGCAGGATGAGTAATGGCCTCGCTCTGTGATTCACGGTGAAACAGGAGGGCGGGGTTGTGAGGCACAGCAGGTCTAGGCGCGCTCACACACACACACACACACACACACCAGACGCAGCTAAAACCCAGCTGACCCTGTTAGACGGATGACATGAACACACACACAGTCACGCGTGTCACATGTTATTATTTTAGACAAGGTCAGAGGAATACATGGATGTGAGCTACACAATGGGTCGTTTACATCTTACTTATGAACCATAAAATGTGAGATTCCATAGAAATATGAAATATCAATCTGATGGATTTTGACTATTTTAACCAGAAGATCGGAACTTTTTATTGCAGGGATTAAGCGACAGAGAGAGAGAGTCAGGTTTAAAATAGTTAAGAAATTTATTTCTACACAATTTAAACAAGACTAACTTTAACACTCTGTGTACTGATGGACTAAGGTGGAGTGAGATGTGATGAATGATGGTGTGTGTGTGTGTGTGTGTGTGTGTGTGTGGAATGTTATCAGAACCTTAGGATCCAGAGAAGCATTTAGTTCTGAGTGGGAGTGAATGTTTCGCTCTAAACTTTAGTCGGAGGTTTATAACACACATGAAATGCCATCTGTCGGTCTACGTACCCCAGGGGAAGCCTCCGATTAGATCCAGAATGTCGAGGTCCTCGTGGACCCTCCTTGGAACCGAAGCCGGTAGAAAAGCAGCGGTGCCGACCAAACTAGTCTTGGAATGCTTCCAGGTCACAACAGGTTCATTGGCAACTCTGAAGTGGTCGTGAGGTTCAGATTTTATTCTGAAGGAACCGTTGCAGTCAGGTGTAACTTGCAATAGATTTTATCCAGCTTGTCGAGGTTCTTTTGGCTGAAGAGGAAGTCCGGATGGCCGGTCCGAGACTCCTCTAGAACGCTTCAACTAACCCCGGGTTTCCACGGGAGCCGTCAGCAGCACGTTACTGCAGCAGCACGTCTTGCTTGCGTAAGCTGCTGCTTGGCCCCTCCCACGAGACGCGAAGCAGCAGCGGAGCAGCTGTCACCGACCGAGCACGAAGTCACACGAGTGACTTCGTCAGTAAACACAACAACAAGCAGGAGAAAACTACAACATGGTTTGTGTTTTATGTTCTGTCCATTTTATAATCGCCAATACGGACCTGAAAAACAAAGGAGACCGCTAGCTACGTGATAACTTCTCACGGGGCCGCACAGTTTTTTAAAAGTAAAGCAACCAGAAGGCAGTACGTTCTTTATTCTGAAAATCTCGGGAGCTTCTCTCCATTTCCGCGTCCGATTTCCTGTCTTTCCTTCCCCAAAAATGTCGAACTTTACCCGTTTCAGAGGCGTCGCGCGTAGAAAATAGAACCGGCGCGTAAAGGCCGCGACATGCTGCACCTGAGACGCGGCCGACTCGCGCTGCTGACGGCTCCGGTGGAAAAGGTTCTGTTGACCACAGCGGTTCCTATCAGCAGCTATGACGTGCTGCTGCAGTAACGCGCTGCTGACGGCTCCCGTGGAAAGCCGGGGTCAAGAAAAGGTGGTGTGGGATAGTTTTTAGGATTGTCATATTTTGGTTTACTGGCGAATCAGAATTTGACGTGCAAAAGAGGGTTCATACAAACACCACAGATAACCCCGCCCAGCCCCAGAAACGAAAGTTCTGATTGGATCAGACAAAAGGAAATGTGTCGTGTGACTTAAGCATTACGTGTCCTTAGTGTCTAGTGCAAATGTCCAGGATTATAATAACTTGTAAAATACTACTGATCACAGGATTATAATATCAAGTAATAATATCGTCATTTCACAGATTTGATTGAACATTAGGCTCACATTATTATTGGTAATTAACAAAGTTTTTGCTTATGTATTTATCAAGAGAGTTCACCGTCTTCGCTTGGTAACAAAGGTGAAGCAGTTCAGATGAGCAGAGTGCATGAAAGACCTTGGCCACTATCTCTTGTAGATTAGCCTGTCAGAGACTTTATGTCTGCTTGAGCAGACTCTGCAGATCATGACCTTTAGGTCAAAAACAGGACATTCATGACGCTACACCTGGAAGAACCAGAAACCCGCATCGCCAGAGGAAACGAGATGGCGCTAAACACCAGTCGTTGTTTTCTAGGTCCAAACATCTTTGGTTGTCTAAGACTTCAGATGGTGATTTTCTTTTTGGGACTCTGGTAGTTTTAGAGCTGAAGAGGTAGCAGCCAGCTGTTTCTCCACTGATCCTGTTGAGCGGAGAACGTCTCGCACCGGTGGGGTTCTGCTGCTAAATGCGTGAGTGTGTGATGAGTGGAGGACCCAGGGAGGTGAGACGGATAACCTGATGGTCCAGTGGTCGCTTTCTGTCCGAGTCGCGTTATTGGCAGAGGTTTTTAGACTAATTGGAGAGAACTGCTTTATGTTTTCAGCTTTTTCATCTTCACAATAAATTTACAGCTATACTATGCTAGAAGGTTAACAGACATGAGAAAAACATTTAAATGTAATTTGTTTTCCAAATTTGCTATTGCATATTTAAAGGTATGGCGGAGGATGTTTCTGAATTTCAGGAAAGAACCGCCCTCTCCAAGTTTAGAAAAAAAATGCACGAGAGAGAGAACGCCCGGTTATCCTCGCGCTCGCCGTAGCTGCCGGCCTTGCAGTGTTTCTTCTAGCAGTAATCTGAAATGAGTTTCTCAGAAGAGCATGCTGAACTTGAGCTTACCTGTCGAGCAGAAAACCGGCGACAGAGGCATTTGTGGGGACCCCGACCTTCACTTTTCGCAGGCGCAGGAACTGAAACCCGCCCAGCAACAAGCACGTACGATGACGGCCTTGCATGAGTGGTGCACCTGAACGATTGCAGGTTATGCGGACCATTGGTTCCGATGATCCAACCGAAAGACAAAGGTCCTCTGCTATACTTTAATTCACATTAGAATGATAGATGTTTGAATGTTCCTTGTTTACAAGCTGTGAGCCTGCAGGGTGGACGTTGCAGCGCCGGCACTTATAATTTGACACTGGCTGGGAAAACATTGCAGCCACAGCTTTTTTATTTTACTCTATAATATCAGGTGAAGCAGGCTAGAGGCTAACATTGAGCTAACAATACGCTAACGGTGAATTAGAAGCAAATAATCGGTTCTAAAAATATCTCAAGCTTCTTATTTAATAACCAACGACTGGATATTACAGTGAAATGTGTGTATTGATGTGAGTCATCGCCAGTCGTGGTGTTTTACTTCCTTTAATGAGTCATTCACAACTATAACAGCAAAATGGCTGGAGACATACTACTGTAAAAAGTGTAGCAAGTGCTCCCTACCTTAAAACGCCGGATTGCTCACGCCAGATATAGTAATGTACTTATCTGTTGTGTATGAGTCGTCTTTACTTGTCATCTAGAATCTTCTGTTTCTGATCCGTAACTGGCAACATACATGAAACTCACGGAACGGGAGTGAGAAAGATAGGCTGCAGTAACCAGATTGGCACTCTTACATATTACATCTTTAAAGGGACTTTACGGACTTTTGAAATTTTATGCTCGTGATTGCCCCCTCAGGCCAAAAGCGTAACGGCGGCTTCAATAGTAGGCTCATGCACAAGGCGCGCAATGTGCCTCGGTCTCTGCAGCTGCACTTTCTCGTTGGCCGGCCGAACGTGGTGTGTGTGTGTGTGTGTGTGTGTGTGTGTGTGTGTGTGTGTGTGTGTGTGTGTGTGTGTGTGTGTGTGTGTGTGTGTGTGTGTGTGTGTGTGTGTGTGTGTGTGTGTGCGCGGCCCAGAGGACAGGAGAACACGCAGCTAATTAATTAAATAATTTGGTTCTGTACCTTTCTCTTCAGCACAGCTGACAAAGGTTTATGATGGGTCAGTCCTCCTGCATGCTCAGATCATTCCCTTCCCTTGCTTGAAAAATTGTTCCAAAATGAAAGTTGAACCCACATCTTTTTTATCTGTGAATTCAACGCCGTTCAGCGAGTCTCAAATAAAAGTGTGGGCGTCTTACTGTAAAAAATATACCATTAATGTAAAAAAGAAACTCCAATTGACAGGTTATGTTCACACTTGGAATTGAACCCAGGTCTTCTGCATGAGAGTCAGACATCTTACTAGGACAGCTAAAGCACCAGTGATGTTCATGGTATCTGTAACATTTATATCCTTGATGACAGCTGAAACGACGTTCAAAGAACGGTTCGGAGCTAAAACGGCTATTTTGTTGCTAATTTGCAGGAAATATCTAGAAGAAAGTTCTACAGAAAGTAGCTAAGGGTCCTCAGAAATGTAGCTAGCTTTGTCACTAGGCGTTAGGAACAGCGACAAAGTGGCACTGCCTCTCTCTCTGCTGCTAAAGCTACGGATAGCAAATGCTACGGGCTATGCCTGAGCGTGAACGCGCATGAAGCAGCCTGCTCGACCCGAGCATCTCTCTTTTTCTGTGATTTTACAGAAAAACAGGCAATCACAGTAAAAATGCCAGGGCTCATTCTACAGGACCAGGGCGTTGCAGGAGAATGTATGAAGAAGACATTTATTATTTCTATACATGCTTTGGCTGTCAACCCTCCTTATTGTCCCTTTAAATGGACTGAAAGGTCCTTCAACCATTAACTCAGGTGTGTCAGAGCAGAAAAGTCACCTGTAGCTCAGTTCCTCTGGACTGAATCAGTTCAGTTTGTTTTCCTCTGATTTGGTTTCTGCAAACCAAACACGAGTCACAACGAACCAGGTGAGAATCTGAAAACCGGACAGATTCTTTTGGGGCGGGTCTACCAGAAGGTTATGCGTTCTGATTCTGAGCTACTCTTCAGCATTTTTATGAATCTTGGTTCTTTTTCTACCAGCTAGGAGCTACTCCTGATGTCTGTGTGCCCTCCTGCATCCCAGAATGCATCACAAACCTGGCTACGGGAAGGCGTTTGGCTCGAACCATGAGCGGTCGTTGTCTCGGATCACTCTATAAACGGGTCTCAGTGCAGTTCTTTTCTTCTGTTCCTTTGAGTCCAAACCTATCAGGCAACTCGGAACCATCCGAACAGGAATCTGAGTACTGAGCTTCCAGCGGAGGTTGGATAATAACCTCGGAAAGTGTGAAGTAGAATCTCTGTTTGGGCCGATCTGCTTTCAGAGCACACAACAAACACACCGAGCTGGCTATCGGCTCGGTCTAAATGACATTTCAGGTCACGCACACGCCTGTGCATGGAGACCGGTAGGGAAATATCAGCCTGAAATGCCACGAACAGTAAGTTAGATGTGCTTTAAATAGCCAAATAACCCGTTATCCTGCACATCTGATCAGGATTTTGTCTGCTTCTGAATGTATTAATCTATATATTATTAGTATAGAAAACCCCCAGATTGTCCTGCAGAGGAATAATTTAGGAGACCAAATGAAGGTATGAAGAATCAGAACTTGTTGATGATCTGTCAGAGCAGAGAGGACCCAGCATCGCCTGCACGGTTCATTCGATCAGATTAAAGTAACACGAAGCAGTTTTTGAAGCTAGAGCTGTAACAGTGATCTCAGTGATTGTTGGGTTAGAAACTTGACCTGTTTCATATCTGACACCACTCTGCAGCCCTGTGGAGGTCCTACAGGGGGAGCTCTTTACCTGCTTTACGAGCAGTTATGCTAGCGGTTAGCGGTTTTAGATTGTCAGTTGTCAATAAAAAGCACACGAAGAAGTTTGCTTTTTTTGTTTGCTGAGCCTGGAAGTAAAAGTAAGAGTAATGTCTTTGGAAATGGAGCAAAGGGTTACAACCAGAGTGAACATCGGCGCGGCCTACGCTAGTTTAAGGGAGCTAAAGGAGGCTGCAAAATCACGGACTGATGGTGACCTTGCTTTGTTACTACTGGACATGTAAGTGATAACATTTTTTGTCCAAGAGTGTGGATCTTTTAACTTCATGGTTCATTTTAGTATTAGTTGGCTCATGTTAGTGTTAGCTCGTTGTTAGCGCTAGCTACAGCAGGCTGCAGCAGAAAAAAAGAGTTGTTCTTTAGCTTGCTAAAGTTTTGGCTAGTTACTATAGCCATCCTCAGAGCAGTGCCGATGTTGGGGCGTCACTTCCTTCTCCGTTTATCACAGAACCATGAACAGAGACGATGGAGTCCACACGCTGGATCACGCATGGGACTGCGTCATTGGCGAGGAGGGTGCGGGCAGCAGGGGGGGGCTGGTGCCCATCTCCAGTAGTTTATGTTTTCAGCCTAAAATGTTTGTGAAATCCTCTTGAGACCCGGACCTCATGGGCATAAGAACCACTAATTATATAACCAAAGTTAAAAAGTTTATATTTTTCAGAAAATAACCACAAATAAATATTTAGAGATTGGTTGATTTTAAATGACCACACGGTCCTGCCGGTGCGTTTGGGCCGACTTTAGACAGGTTGTGTGTTTGTATGCATGAGAGTGAGTCACAGATTTCCACTGGAATGAGATTTAATATGCTGAGGCGCCACATCTGATATATTAAATAGCTGCAACCTGCAGACCCACAGAACTCCCAGCTACACGCCAGTCACCAAAGATTGATCGTATCTGAGGAAAGCAGGAAGCAGATGCAGTAGAATTTGTTTATGGCCGTGCCAGTCTGCTGAGCTGATGTATTCCCAACATGCACAAAGTCTAATTTCACTTTCTCTCCATCTGCCACTGTGTTTTTCCTTGTTCCTGAGCCGTTCTCTCGTGCTTCTTGGCCATGTGAGGGATCCTGCAGGCTAATTTTGCCTAATTATGTAATTAGAAACCACAAAGGTAATGAGGCTTTGACTTGTTTTTATTTTTATCCGATTTATCTTTGTTCCAAGTTTCTTTGGGAATCTTAAAAAAAAGTCCTAATTCTTTGGCTCTCTCTTTGTTCAGCTCCTGCTCCTCCTCTTGATGATTTTGCTTAAATGAGACCATGATCCGGGCGCTGACCTCCTTCTGCCTCGTTTCATTATTATCTCGGTGGAGGAGATGCTCGGATTAGACGCACAAGAGCAACACATCAGGGGTCTGGGAGATAAAAGGCTTCTTAGCTTCTTGTTTGAGGACTCTTCCCGTGAAGCTGCATGTCGGCTCCGATTCCAGTCCTCGTTGTTCTGATGCTTTTGAGTTCCAATGCTTCTGTTTTCATGTTTTTAATCGATGAAGTGAACTTTATAACAAATCCAAAGAGTTCAAAAGAAGGCAACTGAACTTCTTTGGTTTCTTGACGATGTTTTGCTTCTCGTCCGAGGAGCTTTGTCAATTCTGACTGAATACGGAGAGTGAAGCTTGTAGATGTCTGTTAACAAACTGAAACTACCTACGAATATCCCTCCTCCTTACCCACCGAGGAGTCATTGATGTCGTTGGGTACAGTGAGTGCACCTGAAGGGCAGGGGCCACATTTTTGTAGATGGCAAAGTGCACATTCTGGACGGATATGGTTTGAGAGAGGAGTAAAGGAAGCGATCTATGTCAAACGGAAAAAATCCTACCTTAAATAGAGGAGGCCTCAGGGTTCACCAGGGTTCAGTCAAGGTCATACCCTCCTGCATTTAATCAAAACAATTACACCAACACAATAAGACCTAATGACATAAACAACTCATCAGGGGTAGGGGGGCAGGGCATTCATAGGTAGTTTCAGCTCGTTAAGCAGCTACAGTTAAAAGCGCAACCGTCTTTCATCTTAAAGATTCACCTTAAAGAAACCAAACCAAAGAAGTCCAGTTGCCTTCATGTGAACCCTTTGAATTCCCATGACCTGGATGACTCAGGCCCTGTCCACACGTAGCCGGGGATCTGCCAAAACGCAGATGTTTTTCTACGTTTTGGCCTGTCATCCACATGAAAACGGAGTTTTTTCATACGAAAACGGATCTTTTTAAAAACTCCAGATGTGCGTTTTCTCCGTTTTGGGTGTCTGCGTGTGGACAGACAAAACCGGAGTTTTAAGGTCTGCAACGTCACTTTCCGCGACAAAAAAATGCTGACATCACGTGTGCGACCTGTGTTTACACTAGCCGACAGCATGGATGCCCTCAGAGCTGCGCTCGCTTTATCAATTGTCCAAGCGCTTTCTGCTTGTTTGTTTTTGCAAGCGGAATTACTGCTCCTTGCGGAAGACCACAGACGAAGGACGAGGTTAAGAACGGGGAAGTACTGCCGCCTACAGGTCTGGCATGTCCTTAACAACGTATTTATCCGGGTAGGTGTGGACAGAGTTTTGTTTTTAAACGAGGTGGTGTGGATGCAAGTTTCTGAGGGGCGGATGTTTTTTTTTTAAACCAGCTACGTGTAGACAAGGCCTAAGAGCCTTCGCAGGTTTCCTGTTTTTTTCACTATTAAAAAGCCTCTTTTTTTGTGGACCTTTTTGCTAAACCGCATCAGTTACCCGCATGGACGATGCAGCAAAACATCATTTCGCTTCAAAAACACTTTATTTGAACCAAGATGAACCCAATTCTGCCCTCCGTGTTGTTTTTTTGTAGCTTGAGAGTCAGAGTCAGGCTGCCAAGTCATCGTGCTCACTCTGGTTGGCATTCAGTGTACCTGCTGCCCTGGCATCCTGCTTCTACCCACAAGCGGTGACAAGGGCAGAAAAATGCTGCTGACGAGACACACACACACACACACACACACACACACACACACACACACACACACACACACACACACACACACACACACACACACACACACACACACACACACACACACACGCATTAATACACAGAGGACTGTGGCAGATGTCACAGCAACATTCAGCTCCACATTTCATCCTTTTCCCCACTTGTGCAGAAACACACGCTTACTCACCGCTGGATATTTCTGGTTTGGTCACTGAATTAATAATTAGCTGAATGATTAGTTTACGTCACTGAGCTCTCAGAACCCCGACGCTGAATATGTAAGGTGCCGCACGTTGATGCACTCAGGGTGGCGTCTCTTTGAGCAAAGGGCCCTCTGAGGTTCAAGAGTCAGGCAGAGGAAAGTGTTTTGTGATGTGGCGTCATCGGGGCTGTGCTGTTGATCGTCTCTTTGCTGAGTCAGTCTGCAGACAGAAACGCGGAGATCCATTCTGGAGACGAAAAACAGTAAAAGCAACCAATGCACAGAGGAAAGTGTGAGATTTGGTCTGTGGGAGGAAACTAGAATACCAGGACTTTCCGCACTTACAAAGATTCAAACCTTCAACCTTCTTGCTTTGAGGCAACAGTGCTACCATCTGTACCAACATGCAACCCTGACGAAATTCCTCCTTTTCTCAGCATCAGTTTAAAACGTCCTCTCGCTGAAGTCTGTTCTTTCATTCAAATAACATTTTTATCACGTTTGACAATAAAGCCAAATTATTTAGGTGTTGTAACAAGAATCATGAGTTTTCCCCCTGATGCTGCATAAATTAGCTGTTAATATCCCAGAAAACATGTTAAATGCATCGTTTAACTAACAGCATCGGTGAGGTTTGCTGGGTATCATTCTGCATACATTTATTATTTGTTTAGTGTAAATAAAGTATGATGGAGGATCGCCTAAACCGCTCACCATAGCGATCAGTTGCAGGCTCTATGAAGCCCTGAATGGGAACATCTGGCTGAGCAGCTGGACGACACGGCGGCAGACAAAGAGAATTTATTAGTTTATTAACGTTCCTTCCACGCGGTTTGCTGCTGACCCAAATGCTTTCCCGCAGAAAGAATCAGAAGTTGTGACTCTGAGTTGCAGATCATGTTTGCAGACTCAAAGCTAAATGCTCCTTCTTCCTGCCTCAGCTGTTTAAGGAGAAGTGGTCGCCATATGTAGCTTGTTTTCTCATCCACTGAATTATTTATTGGTGCAGATGCAAAAAACGAAAGAGAAGAAGATGATTGTGGGAGAGGGACACACCTGATGGAATAATCTCTCTGATTCTCTGTATGTGTGCAGATTATTAAAGTGGCCCAAGAATTTAAAACCACATTTACATTTATTTCTCTGACCTGCTGCCATGTGAATCGGTAATGTTTTAACTGCAAAGAAGAAAGATTCATTCTGAGAAAAGCTTGTTTAACATGTCAAAAGCTTCAGCTTGCAGGTCCCAACCCTTCAACTTCAGCAATAAACATTAGTAGCAGCAATGCTAACTGCAGAACAATGCTAACCCAAGCTACTGCTAATGCCAGCCTGGGGAACTGCTAATGCTAGCTCAAGCTAGCGCTATCCCAAGCTACTGCTAATGCAGTGGCGGCTCCAGAAATGTTTTTCTGCAGGTGCTATGAAGGAGCTAGTCTTTTTATTGAGGGTGCTATGAAAGAAGTGGTCATGCGTACCTATTGTTCTCTAAAACGCCTTCAACACTAGCAGATACACATGTGTGCACAACACCTCAACAACACCTGAAACAATCATTAATATACATCATAAACATATGAACAATCTCTGACTTTTCCATGAAATCATAGTGTTGCAAGGTTAGCTAACGTTAGTGTTAGCATTTCAAACCCTCGACTGCTGCGGCGGTTGAGGGTTGACTCTCTTCATCCAGATCCGTAGGTTTTTGTGGCTCTGACATCACTTCCAAACATTCATTTGTTTCTGACTGAACTTGTGGAAATGTGGGCAACAAAAACCGATCCATTTCACCACTAGCTCTACCTTTCACTCGTTCACAGGTGGAAAATGAGGTCAAAGGTTAACATCAATTTCCTGTTTTGGTTTAAGTTTTTACTATCTATATGATAATTTACTGATTATTTTGTTTTGTATGTTAAATATTATCACATCCACACGTTAAATTTAAATTGTAAAAAAAAATAATAATCTAATATTTACTTGGGGGTGCAATGACTAATCCAGGGGTAGCTGTAACTCCCCCCTGGCGCCGCCACTGTGCTAATGCCAGCCTGCGGAACTGCTAATGCTAGCCCAAGCTACTGCTAGCACTAGCCTGAGCTACTGCTAATGCCAGTATGGGGAACTGCTAATGCTAGCCCAAGCTAGCACTATCCCAAGCTACTGCTAATGCCAGCCTGGGGAACTGCTAATGCTAGCCCAAGCTAATGCTACAAAGTTTTAAATGCTTCATAGAGCAGTTTCCATTTGTAAAGAAGACTTTTTCTGTATACGTTTAAATTAATTTGTAGTCAACCATATTAGGTCAGTATCAACACAAAGGCAGCAGAAAGTTTTCTGCAGGTTTCCAGACGTGCAGCAGTCTCAAACTGAGATTGTGTGCAGAGTGGGAGTCGGGAAGAACTAAAGAAAGCTCAATACAGCCCCTAAAACATGCAACAGAACAACACCGAAGGGTAACTAGTAAAACGAAACTATGATGGCTGGTTAAGTAAGGACGGCTTACAGCTGGAGTTGTCTAATCACGCTAACAGCACTTTGCACTCACACGTTCCATCTCCATTCAGGTGGGTAATTTTAAGTGCTTTTGCAGCGGTGAGAGTGATTCAGCACCGGCGCCATTTCAGCGTGCCGAGAAGCATCTACGGTGCCACAGAAAGGAAGTGCTAATTTGTTTAATTAGTTCAGTTGTCCTCCTCTCGGTGGGCCGCACCGCTGAGACTTTTCATTCAAACAAGTCACTTCCTGGAGGTTGAATGAAATATTTTGGATTTTGACAGGAAGCAGCTGCCATGTTTTAAACAGAAGCACCAGAGCAAAACTCTTTAGATTTTATCCCAGCAGGTTTTTGATTGAACTTTGTTGCTTTTAAGATGTGTTTTTTGGGTTTTGGCGACGTAATAAAACTCGTGAAAATCTCACGAGAGCGTGTGCGAGTGAGTGTGTGTCTCCCAAATGAACCTTGACGTGCTTTTTCCCTCTCCAGGCCACCTCAGGCCGGCGTAAACGCACCTGTAAACTTAGAGGTCACTCCAAATTTCAATCCTCCTTTCAAATTAGGCAAAATCTAAATATTTTTCCTATTTATTTCCTTTTGATCCTTTTACTTCCCACCAGTAACAGAAGCAGGTAGTCAGCATCTGTTTGGCCCTGCGGATCCGTTCCCTGTCCTCCACCTCGCCCATCTCTAATCTCAGATCCATCGCTCCAAATCAAGGCCCCGCTCGCCCCCATGGGCTGATGGCATCACTCATTACACGGTGAAGTCTCAATTGCCGCCTCACCTCTTCCATACAACACCCCCCCCCCCCCCCCTGTACGCTCTGAATGAACCAACCTTTGGCTCCAGGCCTCCACTCATCCCAGCGAGGCGAGAGGGAGACTAATGCAGTTCAAATGAATGTCAGGCCTCGTTATTGTACCGGCGGGTTTACACAGTTTGGGTCCTCCAGGGCCGAGTCTTGCCCTCCTCTCGCTCATCTGGATGTCAAACACACTCCAATACAGACCTGGTGACTGGGACGTGTCGTTTCACCACTAATAAAGAGAACAAACCACTGCCGGCTTAGGAAAAGTGGAAAAGTCCATTTAATGAAGCTGGAACTGGAAAAGGGAATTAGACACACTTTCATTCACATTCTCGTCTGGTTCTGACTTATATTTATGTCAAATCTGTTAGTTGTTTACCAAAATGACTTAGCTGCTGTGGGTTTTCATCCTTTTACCTCCACAGCCAGCGAGAACTGCCACGACTTCCATCCCATGTTCTTCACCCACGATCGCTCCTTTGCGGAGTTTTTCTGCATCTGCATCCAGCTGCTCAACAAGACCTGGAAGGAGATGAGAGCCACGAGTGAAGACTTCAACAAGGTACGGGTGATTCTGCATTAGGTACATAAAAAGAGAAAGATGTTGGATGATTAAAGACCAAGTTCACAGAGGAACCGTGATTTACTTATTTTTGGACAAGGATCAGTAACTCTGGGTGTTTCACGCAGGCCGAACATGAAAATAGTCTCCTACACCTATCTCCTGCATTAGCTTCTGATAGAAAACAGACGGTGAAACTCTAGGATTAGGAAATCCTGACAGATCTACGTCACCCTGTCACTTAACATTCATGGACTCACCCATCTGGACTCAAGTCGGGAAAGACGGTTGTCGGTTTATCGTCCAGGAAACAGCAGTTAGTGAAAGCTAACCATTAGCATTAGCAATTCCGCCACACAGCAGAACTCCTCCAGGCTTGTGTTATTTGTGGAGATAAAACATCAACGTTGCAGAGCAAACAGAGTCAGTGGTAGAGTCGCGTTGCTGTTAGCCAATCGGAGGAGAGATGTCCAAACATGAATAATGAGCAAGACTCCATCTCCTGCTGTTTTCTGTCCTCCACTCCTCCGGCTAACTTCTACTTCCTGAAACAGGAGCGCCACCAAAACGATTCACAAGGCATTTGTTCACACCAGAGATGACAGCAGACATGCTGGCAACATGAGTAAATGAGAGCTGCAAGAGAATATTCTTTACAAAGCAAGTTTATTTAGCTAAAAAAGGTAAATAAAATAAATGGATGCTACAATAAAAATGGAGGTAAATACTAATGACTTATTTCCTTAAAAAGTTTCTGGTATTTGTTGAAAGTTGTGTTTAAAATACTTAATTTTTGTCGACGCTGACCTCTAATGGAACGACGTCAATCCTCAGAAAAGCCCCTTCAGGATAGAAAATGCCTTTTTGAAGATTTGAGACCAAACTCCCACCTCCACGCTCAAAACTCAGCAGAGTTTGGACCAGAGTGACCAACTTCCTTCACGCCGGCCGACGCTGAGTCAGCCAACACAGGAAGCGTGTCGTAGTGTGCGGCCAGATGGCGATAGTAAGGAGGTGTTTATGACCGATGGTGTGTGTTGTCGGTTGGGCGTCGGCTGTAAGCGGCAGCAGATGCTCAGCATCGTTTCCCTGATTTGTCAAACAAACAAGGATCTTCTCCAGAACACAGAACCGCCGCGGTTCTGATTCACAACAGCCTTTTGGGGGTTAGTTACGTGCAGCATAATTCAGGATGTTCCTGTTTAGAAGTTGCAGAAGAAAACCTAGGAGACAAGTCGAATAGAAAGATACAGCAGGCCTAACAGGCTACATGTACTCTAACCAACCACAACATGGTGACTACTCATGATCAGAGCTGGACTTGGAGGCATAACGAGCTCCTGATGTTATGGTGGATTTCCACAGAAAGGACCAGAGCAGCATGTCTGTGTCTGAAACCTGATGTTCTGCACGGATTCTGGTCTCTCTGTGGTCACCGAACGAGCTTAAAGCATCCAGAAAATACATTTTCATCACTTGTTGCTCCTTCGGTTTGACTATCAGCAGGAATACGACCAAACTTAATATTTTTTAACTTGTTGTTTAACCCTCCCACTGGAAACTTTGCAGTCATCGTCGTCTTCTACCTCCGCTTATCCGGGTCCGGGTCACGGGGGCAGCATCCCAACTAGGGAGCTCCAGACTGTCCTCTCCCCAGCCACCTCCACCAGCTCCTCCAGCAGGACCCCAAGGCGTTCCTGGACCAGATTGGAGATGTAACCTCTCCAACGTGTCCTGGGTCGACCTGGGGGACTCCTGCCGGCAGGACATGCCCGAAACACCTCCCCAGCGAGGCGTCCAGGAGGCATCCTGACCAGATGCCCAAACCACCTCAACTGACTCCTCTTGATCCGGAGGAGCAGCGGTTCTACTCCGAGTCCCTCCCGAATGTCCGAGCTCCTCACCCTATCTCTAAGGCTGAGCCCGGCCACCCTACGGAGGAGACTCATTTCGGCCGCTTGTATCTGCGATCCTGTTCTTTCGGTCATTACCCAAAGCTCATGACCATAGGTGAGGATTGGGACGTAGATCGACCGGTAAATCGAGAGCCTGGCTTTCTGGCTCAGCTCCCTCTTCACCACGACAGATCGGCTCAGCGTCCGCATCACTGCAGACGCCGAACCTACCCAGCAAGAGCTGAAGGTCAGAGCTGGATGAAGCTAGGAGGACCACATCATCCGCAAAAAGCAGAGACGAGATTCTCCTGCCACCAAACTCGACACACTCCAAACCACGGCTGCGCCTAGAAACTCTGTCCATAAAGGTAATGAACAGAACCGGTGACAAAGGGCAGCCCTGGTGGAGTCCAACCCTCACCGGGAACAGGTCCGACTTACTACCAGCTATGCGGACCAAACTCACGCTCCTCTGGAAAAGGGACTGAATGGCCCTTAACAGAAAGCCACCCACCCCGTACTCCTGGAGCGTCCCCCACAGGGTGCCCCTGGGGACACGGTCATAAGCCTTCTCCAAATCCACAAAGCACATGTGGATTGGTTGGGCAAACTCCCATGCCCCCTCCATCACCCTTGCAAGGGTATAGAGCTGGTCCACAGTTGCACGGCCAGGACGAAAACCACATTGCTCCTCCTCTATCTGAGATTCAACTATCGATCGGACCCTCCTCTCCAGTACCTTGGAGTAGACCTTTCCAGGGAGGCTGAGGAGTGTGATCCCCCTATAGTTGGAACACACCCTCAGGTCACCCTTCTTAAAGATGGGGACCACCACCCCGGTCTGCTACTCCACAGGAACTGCCCCCGATGACCACGCAATGTTGCAGAGACGTGTCAACCACGACAGCCCTACAACATCCATAATCCCTGTCGTAAAACAATACTGAAACACTCTTCCTTGATGAGCGCTCGTGTTTTTAACAGCTGAAGCGTCTCCCAGCCTTCATTAGTGTCTGCAGGAGCGGTTCATCACTAAATCAAACAAATCAGCTGTGTTCATGATCTAAAACTTGCAGGAGAAGTGGCTCTGAGCTCTCGCCATCCAGAAAACTCCTGACGATGACTCCTGTTGTGATCAGACGTTCGTTTCATTTCTTTAGCTTCATTATTTCAATGTTGTCTTTGTCTCTCCTGAAGCTCCACCATGATAAACACGTTACAACAACAGGTACAGCTCGTCTGTTCCGAGGTCTAAACATGAATATCCGTAAAGCGTGACTTTGTGAGACTTCAGGGGAGCGGTTTGGAGAGGCTGAAGGTGCAAACGGAGTATCCAGGAGGGGCGGAGGGGGCTGGGAGACATTGAGTACGTTTACATGCAGCCAATATCCGGGTTATGATCGGGTTAAGGTCGGTATTCGGGATTCTGAGTTGATCAGAAAAACCCGTTTACGAGCATAAATAGAAAGAGTTACCTCTAACTTGCATAACCCGATTTAAATGCGGACGTTGGGGTAGCGTCACGACGTATGGACTACGTCAGTTCAGTATCCGTGAAAACAACATGTTTCCCAGTTCGGAAGAGCTAGCGACCGCGTTTGTTTGCGCTTTAGTTTCCTCGTCACTCCAAAAGTGTGGTGCTGTGCCGCGACTCGCCATGTTGCTCCCAACTTGTTGTTTACTTCCGGTGTTCTGGCGCATACAAGACGTCTCGCTACTCAAAAGACCAAGATTCCTTGCGAACAGAGCATGCGCAGAACACACGCTTTGATGGGGATATCCCGATATGCGTTTACACGACCAAACATTCGGGTTAGAAAAGGGTTACCCCAGGGGTAGTAACCGGGTTTTAAAAAACCCGGTTATGAGCATATCCGGGTTTTTGGCGGTGTTTACATGGCCGTGCGGAACCGGGTTATTGCGAATATTCGGGTTTTAAAAGGGTTACTGGCTGCATGTAAACGCACTGATTCACTCGCCCCGTGAAGAGTTAGTCATTTATTTAAAATGTGGAAAAGCTGCTTAGTGTGCCTTTAAAAATGAGGAGAAAGTTTGATCGGGATCTTTTTATGGTTATAAATTTCCCAACAAGCCGATTTGAAAAGCTACGCTCTTTCATCCCACTTTTTGCGCCAGATTAGTGTTTAAGCTGCTGTGAGCCGTAATCTCGTAACTGCAAAAATGAGGCGGAAATGAAGATTTTCAACTAGGTAAAAATACTGGAAAAGCTGGGAGAAGGACGGGAAGAGCCCAGACGGACAGGATAAAACACTCCATCTGTGTGATACCGCAGAGCTGCACACGACACCTTTAGGCTCTGATGTTTATCTTTTTTAAGCTGCTCTAATAAACAGAAACTTTGGGTTTATTAATCTCTGCGATCAGCCTTAATGAGCGCTGATTAATGACCTCCATCTTTGTTCACATCTGCACGATTCAAACAGATTCAGTCCCTTAAATCCCGTCTGCATTTTCCCCGTTTGGATTTTCTTTTTTGGATTTTGAGAAGAAAGTCGTTTTTCTCTCGTCTGTCACTCAGACGCTGCACCGAGAGTCTATATTTGTATGCGTCCTGCTATTCGGAATTACATGCTCAAACATCACATCCTCTTCAGAGAAGATGTGTCCTCGTGTGGGTGGACGAGCGGAGACGCGCAGGATTATTCAGAGGGCATCCGCTCTGTAGATGTGCAGAATACTGGAACAACTGGTGTTTTATCGTGAACACCGATCGTTCCTAGCGTCTGATTCTGCATGACTGACTTGGCTTCACACACACACACACACACACACACACACACACACACTTATTTATGTGCATTTAGGACAAACCCACAAGAGGTCAATTGGAGCTGAGCGCTTGTCGGAGCTGCTCCGATGCTTTTGTGTATTTTTCTGGAAACGATGAGAGGCTCTTGCGGTGTGTTTAATGGAGGCAACTCTGGTGCTCGCAGGGCACCGCTGTGTCTGTTTCTCCTTGTTTCCATGGCAACCCCTGTCCAATTGCGTCTGCTCAGGTTCTGTTCCCATGAAATGGGACCCCGCTCTCGTTACACGGGTTGTGTTTTGATGCAGGAGCATCTATCAGAGGCTCCCGACGTGTCC